AAAAGACAAAATCCCCATGAAAAGTCAAAAAGCACAATCACATAAAGGAAAATTATTCAGCCTCCGACCGTTTATGCCGAAATCCTTTCCGAATAAATAAAATAATAATTTAAATTATAAAATATTAAATTAAATAATTATTTTATAATAAATTTATTAAAAAATATTATTATTTTAACTATTCAGAACATGGTTCGGACAATTTTTCGGAGGGTGTAGCATAACTCATCATAGAAAAGAGATTGTAAATGACTGTTCTGCTCCAGCCCCAGTTGCTTTGCTCTGACACTTCTTTGCTACACTCAAAATGGAAGGAAATGATGATAAGTAGTTGTTTGGATCAGATAAGAGGTACACGTATCTTGGTAAGCATTTAATGCTCACATTAAATGCATCAATAATACTCTCTAAGATCAGGCAAGAAGACAGACGAAGCAACTTAAAGAGAAATATGAACATTTAAATTTGAACGTTGTTACAATGGCCATCTTCATTGAAGCTACCATATAAGGATCAAACCTTCAAACTACAGAGGGGATTCTTCATATAGATAGTATATACATATATGAAGAAAAGCACTATAAATAAATAAAAACAAACAAAAACATTCATTGAGCAATTCATATTGATCAAATACTCTGAGAACATGCTAAAGCACTACAAAAAAGATCTCATTTATAAATCTTGTATCTAGTTCTTTTTAGTCTTTTTGTGTTGTATTTTCTCATAGCATCATGTCTAGAAGAGACAAAGCTATATTTGCAACTCTTATCAATTATATTTGTAAAGGTTGAGCCTAAAGAGACTTGTTCAAAAGAATACTTAGTCTTGAGTTTGGAGAGGTTTGTTCAGAAGAATACTTAGTGGTTGAGCCTGGAGAGACTTGGTTGTTGCTATTGAGATCGCAACGAGACGACGAATATAAAATTTAAAACAATGAAATCGCCACTAATGTTTATTTTTATGGAGAAACATTAGAAAAAAAACCCTGAAATAGAAAATGGCCTACAAAAATCATATTTTTGAGTTCGGGAGTCAATTACGTGTAAGGAATGTATTAGCACTTCACAATGTTCGTCCTAAGACGATTACCTTTAATTAATTAAACAAATTATTTATAACTTATAAAATATTTATCTCACCCTAAATTAATTAACTATAATGATCAAACGTATTTTAACTAATTTAACTAATGCATTTTAAAAAAGAATTAAAATTATTATTGTTATATAAAAAGGAAGATAATATTTTTTTTTGCTCGATAAGATTTATTTCTTGCTCCTACGTATCTCCATGTGTAATGAAGAATGAGAGTCATGTAGTTTTTTTATAGAAAATATTTGTGTGTTGATATTTTTAATTAAATTTTATTTTTATTAAATTTTGGATTCTTGAACTGTCTCGGCTCATTCACCCTAAAGTATAAAATTGACTGAGGTGTACACCAAAGTCTACTCGATAAAATATTTAATTTCAATTATAATTATTGTTATAGGTATTATTATTACTATGATATATACTTAAAAGATTTTTGGTTGGATATTTTTATTTTGGAGAAGTAATTTAAAGATATCAAGTTGTTACAACTTGTATCTTATATTCAAAGGTTAAAAAGATGTCACATTTAATTAACCATTCATCCAATAAAACCTTCAATATAATAACTTAAAATATTTATATTGAATATTGTGATAATAATTTTTTGATGTTTAATTATATTTTGAATTCAAATAAAGATTTTAAGGTAACAAATTGTTACAACTTGTACTTTTAAGCTCTAGAATCAAAACAATGTTACATTTAAATAATTTTTTTAAAAAAAATGATAGATATTATTAATATAAATATTGATGAAAAAATCTCATAGTTATTATTTGTATTATTGTTATTATAGTAACTATTACTATTATCACTATTACTATGATTATAATTATAAGTATTATATTTATTATTATTATTAATATCATCATCATTATTATTATTATTATTATTTTTCTTATTATTATATATTTATTATTATTATTATCTACTTTTACGTGATCCTAATTTCCTTTTCATAAGATCTGACTCTTTTTATATGACTACTCACTTTTGTAAATTAGTGATTTGGTTAACAAATGAGGGATAACAATATTTAAATGCCAAGAGAAAAAAGAGAAAAAGAAAAAAAGAAATGAACACACGAAAAGGAAAATAGAAAAATGATGCAACATTGAAGGAGAAAAGGAGGGGTCTCATCCGCGACAACATACAAAGGGAAAAAATAAAAGAAGTGAAGCAGTAACGTGCAAAGGGAAAAAAATAATTAAAAAAGTGAAGCAGCAACGTACAAAGAAAAAAATAATAATAAAAAGAAGTGAAGCAACAGAGAAGAAGAAAAGGAGGGGTCTCATTGTAGCAGTGTGCGAAAGGAAAAAATAATAAAAAGGAAGTGATGTAGCAAAGAATAAAGGGGGAAAAGATGGATCTCGTACGAAAAGAAAAAAAATGATGCAGTAGAGGATAAAGGAGAAAAAGGAGATCATGCACGAAACTTCTAGGATGCTTCGTGGGAAAGAGAAAATGCAGAATATAAAGGAAGAAAAGAAAGATCAAACGTGAGGTTTACCGGAGAAGCTCTACGGGAGAGAAAAATGTGTTAGGTTCCTTTTCTATGCTCTCATCCGGGTGAACTTGAAGAATGTTGGAGTGAGATGGCAAAACAAACAAGTAGCTCCAATGTCAGTTCAATATTGCACCGTTGGGCTCATAGAGAATTCAGTATACTCACTATTCTTCACTCAAGAAGTGGTAAGAAGAAAGAACTGAGGTGGTGTTTCCTTCTTTTTTTTTCTTCCTTTCTTCCCTTTATAGAAGAAACGTATACAAGGCCAAAGCATGATGCCAAAAAATGACAGCTTGCTTAGTTTGTAGTTCCAATAATTACTTTACGCATGGCACCAAAGCCAGATTTTTACACTAACATAGAAACTGTAAAAGATAAGGAAAAAAAAGTCATACTGGCTATAAAACATATTTGTTGATACAGAGAAAGATTTGGCTTCCCTATTTTTTTTGTCTTTTTGATTCTTTCTTGTATATATGATTAGAATTTAAATCTGGTTTGTAAAATATTTTTATTATTGAATCATTGACTTAAAAACTTTGAGAAAGAAATTAGTGGAAAGATTAATGGAACAAAATTGGTGTTTAAAGTTGGTGAAAGAATACTTGAATTTGAGCTTGGAGAAGCTTAGTGAAAGAATACTTGGGCTTGAGCCCGGAGATGATTGATGAAAGAATACTTGAGTTTGAGTCTGGAGAGGCTTGGTGAAAGAATATTGGAAATTGAGCATGAAGAGGCTTAGTGAAAGAATACTTGGTTGAGTCAAAAGTGGCTTGTGAAATAAAACTTGTATCTTGTTGAAGATAGTAGAACTCAATCTGGTTGGATTGAGAACTGGACGTAGTCTTTAGGTTGGAGACAAACCAATATAAAAATACTTGTGTCATTTTGTCTGTTTTTAGTACTTCGTCTGATTACCTTTCAATGCTTCATTTGTTTGCATTTTTCACCGCCTCACTACAAAAGCGCGATTTTTTGATATATATTATTTAACTCTCCATTTCTAGTGTGTATCTTTTTCTCTAACAATTGGTATCAGAGCTCAACCTTTGATGGAGTTGAGCATTTGATAGTGTCAAAGGAAAAAGATCCAAAATGGAAAGTAGTGAAGGACAGTACTTGTCGGAAGGAGCTTCTCTCGCAAGGCATCCAACCTTTAATAGAAATGACTATCCCTATTGGAAGGACAGGATGGAAATGTTTATCAAGTCTGCCCAACATCAACTCTAGAGAATCATCATCCAAGGTGAAATTGAAGTAACTAAGCCTAAGAGCCAATACACTTAGGAAGATTGTAACATTTTGCAGCAGAACACCAATGCAATATACATACTTGCATGCTCTCTATCCAGAACTGAGTACAACAAGTTCTATAATTGTTTTACTACAAAAGAAATGTAGGGTGAAATCAGGGTAACTCATGAGGGCACTGAGGATGTCAAACTCAAATGAGTTGCCACTCTTTAGAGGCACTATGAGTTGTTCTCTATGAAAGAGAATGAGACCATTAACAAAATGTTTGGAAGGTTTCAAACAATTCAAAATGGGTTAAAATCCCTGGGAACTGAGTTCACCAAAGCTTAGAACAAGCTCAAAATCCTAGATAATCTTCCTAAAGTTTGGGAACCCAAAGCCACTACCATTTCTAAAGCATGAGATTTAAAATTTCTTACTCTTGATGAACTTCTTGAAGCACTTCGTGTTCACAAGGTTCATTTGAATAACAGAGATCAACCCAAGGCAAAAAAAAACAATATTGCCTTGAAAAGTAGTGAGATGAGTGCAAGAAAATAAAGAGGAAAAGCGCTAAAAGCTGAAATTGAGTCAGACCAATCAAACGATTCCTCAAAAGACTCAACAAATGATGAGATCTCCCTAATGTCCAACAAATTCAAAAATATGCTAATAAAGGAGAGATTAAGGAGCCTACATAGGGAGTAGAAAAAAGAAAGAAGAGCCAACAAATTAGAGGACAAAGATATCGTCTGCTTCGAATGTAGGAAGCTAGGACACCTAAAATCAGATTTTCCATTACTTAGGAAAAGATGGTCAAGCAAAAAGAAGATTAAAAGGAGTCTGAAGGCCATCCGCGAGGATCTTAATAGTGAAAACAACGACTCAGATGAAGAGGTTGCTAATATTTGTCTCATGGCAGATGCTAAATCAAATGCAACTAATATAGAGGTAAACTCTGACTCTGATTCTTATTCATCTGATTTTGACTGCGATGAAATGTCTTTTGAGACCCTCTTAGCAAACTCTCACGTGATTTTCCTTGAGTACAAGAAATTGAAAGAAAAGTATAAAGTTCTAGAAAAAGAAAATCTTTAACTCAAGAGAATGATGAGAAAATATGCTAAATATATCTTATGTCTCAAAAACAAGATCACAAGTTTTATTCTTCTTGATATAGAAATCTTAAAAAATGAAAGTTTACAACTCAAGAAGGACCTAACCAAGTTTGTAGATGGATCCACCAAACTCAATCTTTTATTAAAACATAAAAGGATTCCATCTAACAATAACTGGTATTGATTTTGACTCAATTCTTAAGACTCCTCAGACCAAATCTAAAGTCTTCTCTTACAGAACCGGTGGATATGAATATAAAGAATCGGGCAAGAGAAAGACTAACGAAAATGAAACTAACCAGAAAGGACCGAAAAAGATATGGATACCAGATTCTCAAATAATTTATGTTTAAAATATCCTTGGTGGGAAAGTCAAAACTATGAAAAAAAAAAAGAAAAAAGAAAAACACACAAATTCGAACCAAACCTAAATTGATTGTGCCAACCCAAAATAATGAGTGTATATCATAATTATTATTAAAAATAGCTATCAAAATTTGTATAAAAAAAAACTATAAAAAATGACAAAACTTGTATTTAATATTACATGTGCATGTAGTATTAGTATTGTAATGTTTTCCAATTTTCGAAAAACTTGAGCTAGAATTTTGCCTAGAGATTCAATAGGACTTATTTAGTATTGAAAAACATCTTCATAATTAATAGGATGGAAGTAACAGATGAATAAGTTATAGTATTGTCGATGGGATGAAAAAGGGGTTTAACAGAGATGAAAGAGGAGAAGGAGAAGACACGTGTTGGATGATAAAAAAGAAGTTAAAACAGAAAAGAGAAAAGAGAGTAATTGGCAATTACAGAGAGACGACAAGTCAATAAGAGAGGGGAAAGAGAAAAAAAGGGTTAAATAGAGGGAAGACCCAGTCAAATGACAATCACTTTTCAACCCACTCTCCCTAACCTCACCCGCCTGTCATTCGCCGCACCCCTCACCCGCACACCTTAACTTTCTCTCTGTGACACACAAACACCATTCTCTCTTTCTCTCTCTCATTCTTTCTTCGTCTTCTTATGTGCCCTACCACGCCCTCCCATCGCTAGCCATGTCGCTCAGGAAGGTCTTCCGCTCCCGCAAGTTCTCCAGATCCTTCAAGGACCTGCCGCCGGTCGAGGTCGCCGGCGCCGGCGAGAGGAGGGACGGCGGAGGCGAGGAGGCCGACATCGGGAACGAGTGGTCCGCCATGCTGCCCGAGATTCTCGGCGAGATCGTGCGGCGGGTCGACGCCGCCGAGGAGCAGTGGCCTAACCGTCAAAACGTCGTCGCTTGCGCCTGCGTCTGCAAGCGGTGGCGCCACATCACGCGCGAGATCGTGCGTCAGCCCTCGAACACCGGCAGAATCACTTTCCCGTCGTGCCTTAAACAGGTTTTTTCCTTCGAAGATTGCTTCTTTTTTGCTTTTTAAATTATGGGTAGGAAGGAAGCAGTTTTTTTTTTTTTTTTTAATTTATTTTTATTGGAGGACTTGTTAATCTCTTAAATTTGATGTTTTTTCTTCTAGAACTTGTGGGGTTGGAATTTAGGTTGTTTATGTGGTGATTGGGTTGTGAATACTTTATTGGTGATTGGTGAATGTTCAAGTTGTTAAGGGGATCGGGATCAGTAGTAATTTGTTATATGGAAGCAATTGGGTAGTGCCTGGAATCGGGATTGGTGCCCTATTGTAGTTTGATAAATGTTTTCGGGTGAGTGTGTATTATTAGTTTGTTGCAGTTTTATCTCTGAAATTGGGAAAGATGGAAGAATTGGGAATTGGGGTCCATTTGTGAGGGAAATTTTCATTTTTCGTTTTTCATTTTTCATACACGTAATGGGTGGAATGGAGGAAGTTTCATCTATGTTTTAGCTGATAAGGATTATTCGTATTGCAGCACCTTTTTCACCTCCTAACACTGGCTGAAGTATGTGATCTTAGTGATTTATTGTGATGATATATTTTTTTATTATTGTAACGACTGAATTGTAATTTTGGTGAGCGTATTGTGCTATTTATGGCTATTAATTGTTTACTTTGTATTGAATAATGGAATTTGGGAGGTTTGGAATTTGACAATCTTGTTATGTATTGATGACGTGCAGCCAGGACCACGCGACGTTCCCCACCAGTGTCTCATAAAGCGTAACAAGAAGACCTCAACGTTTTATCTATATCTTGCTCTAACACCATGTAAGTAAGTATTGTTTTTCTGTTCTGGAGATGGATGAAAATGAATTAAGGCTGGAGTTGAATGATCTCCTGTGCTCTTTGGCTCTTCCTATGGGGTAGAGCGTTGATAATACAAAGTCTAATGATGTGTTTGTATAGACTAGATCTGGGAACGGGGCACCTTCTAATAATTGGTCAAGCATAAAACCAAGCCTTTCTTGTTTGACTAGGCATGCTTTACTTTTGTGCTTTAAAGCCCCACAGCTTTAAATGGCTGTGTAGTTTGTCAACATGTTAAACAACTTCTTTTAATATATATAAATGCACAGAAAATATTTGTCAAACTGCATGACTCTAGCCACTTGGTTGACCAAACTGAAGGTCTGTTTGGATAAAGTTTTCCATAAACACTTCTAGGAGAAGGAAATAAGAGAAAAATTTAGTGCATAAGCAAATTTATAGACGCTCTCTTATATTAGTTTCTCCAAATATGTTTTTTTAACTTATTATAAGTTAGTTTTAGCTTATAAAGAAACTTATTCTTTTATTCTTCTTCTAGAACAGTTTCTGGAAAAGTTTCTCCAAATTGACCCTGAGTAGTCGAGTCCAAGATGATTTTCTTCAGACAATTTATAGAACCTTACTTGTGCAATTTATTCATATGTTGTAGTTTGATTACCCACAATAAGAAATGAGAAAAGCAATAAGGAGTTGACTTATTTCAATAGTGTGTTGTGTTTTATGAACAATAATCAGAGGTTTTTTTCAGAGATAGAAGTGGAAGGATCTATGACTTGTGGTGTGCTTGTGGGAGTACAAGGGGAATGTACATTTATATAAGGCAGCTTGGGGGAAGGTTCATTTATCAGGAAGGGACCTGTAGTAATAAAAGAGGAGTTATTTACCGCAGCTTGAATACAGATTCAAATATGTTGGGAGATATATACATATACTAAATTCTTTCACCTTAGGTCTTGCAACATCTTAGATTTCTTAAGAGAGATTATATAGTGTGTTGGTTTTTGTTATGAAAAGGAACTTAAAATGATTTTTATTTTATTAATCCTATATATAATATGCTGGTCTTGAAGTGCTACATTGCTTCAGTAGACCTATGGTGATTGGTGAGAGGTCTATAGGACATGGACACATGGTTGATTGAGATATAGGATAGCAATTGGTTAGCTTTATTCTCTGCTTTTTTCCTTTGACTTCACATGTAATATAATGGACATACATTTGTCAGAGCAGCTCTGGGATTGTCACATAAGAAAATATAGTTTATTTTATTGACCAATTTAGTGGCAACATTATTTACTATAAAAATTTAATTGGTTGAGGTGAAATGTGGAATATTCCTTTGGTTGAAATACCTGCGACTTTTATAACTTTAGTAAAATAAGAATATTATGATTTTTGAGGTGCGGTAATAAATCAATGGAATGTAGAGTAGTTGTTTATAGCAATGAGTGAACTTTCAAATGATGATTGTCGGAGGATTATTTTTATGAATACTATAATAAATATAATCTTGATACAAAAATGCGCTGCTTTTGGTTTCTCTCAAGTTTTCTTTGATGTGCTGGAAATTTATGCCTCTTTTTGTTCCCTCTTCCCCATCCATTGCCAGCATTCACAGATAAAGGGAAGTTTCTGCTAGCAGCTAGAAGATATAGGTGTGGTACCCATACTGAGTATATAATTTCACTTGATGCTGATGACTTATCCCAAGGAAGCAAGGCTTATGTTGGAAAGTTAAGGTAAAGTTTTTCTTTCCAAAGAATTACTTCCTCTGGTTCTTTTGTTAAGACCTAATTACCACTTAATTCACTAGAAAGTTCGTTAATTTAGTTGATAGCATTAAATTTGTCTTAAATTTGTATATATTTTTTTCCAGAACTACCCCTAACATTAATGTGAAATGACTTTAATTAAAGGTATTTTTTGTAAAAAGATAATTAATACAATAAATGTTTTAGATTGATTCTTATAAAGAAAGACGAAGCAACACTTTTGATTGAGCTGGTGAAAACTAGAACTTTGTATCTGCTCAATCACAAAACTGTCAAATGAGTTACACTTTGTGTTTTCCTTTCATCAAGCTGTGCCAAGAAGTATAAAAAAAATTATACTATGAATTTTTATTCATTTCTTGCCTTCAGTTTATATGATTGAACATCTCTGAATGACCTGTATGAAATGTATCCTCCCATCTCCTGCTAAACCCCCTCTTCAACTAAAAAAGAAAAAGAAAATAACCAAAAATATTTGAAGGGAATAAAAATATTTGAATACTGCTCCAAATCACTCCCTCGCTTGTGTCAGAAAGGGAAAACAGTTCCATTTGCTTATGTTTAACAGTTATTCAGAACCATTTATGGGAAAGCAGGGTTGTAGGTTGTTTGTAGTACTGTTTTAAGATCAAAACTGCACTAGAAAAGATCTAATTCTAGGTGCAACTGGTAGTTTGGTATTAATAATTTGTAACTATTGTAATTGATCTTGGTTTACAGTTTGTTTCTTTGCCTTTATTTATATCCTTATCTGAATTAAATGATTGATATACTAATTCTTAAACCCTTAGTCTTGTATAAACAAACAAAAAAATTTAATGATGTTAATGTTGGTCAATTCTTTTGTTACTTGCATTAACACCTATGTTGAAAAACTATGCTTGCGAATACATAGTCAATCTTTTTGTCTTCTCTCGAGTAACTACCAATACCAATGTTGGCTTTTTTGTTGAATTCTCTTCACAGCTCGGATTTTCTCGGCACCAACTTCACAATTTATGACAGCCAGCCACCCCATAGTGGTGCAAAACCATCTAGTGGCAGGGCCAGCCGTCGGTTCACCAGCAAGCAGATAAGCCCGCAAGTTCCTGCCGGTAACTTTGAGGTGGGGCAGGTCTCCTACAAGTTCAACCTTTTGAAATCAAGAGGACCAAGGAGAATGGTTTCCTCATTGAAGTGTCCCGTGACTCCTGTCCCGCCAATGGGTGAAAATTCAGATAGCACGTCTCCCGATGGCCATAAGGATAAAGATCATGTTGCTTCTGGCTACACAATCTTGAAGAATAAAGCTCCAAGGTGGCATGAACATTTGCAATGTTGGTGCTTGAATTTCCATGGTCGTGTGACAGTTGCCTCGGTGAAGAACTTTCAGCTGGTTGCAACAGTGGACCAAAGCCAACCAGGAGGTAAAGGAGATGAGGAAACAGTTCTTCTCCAGTTTGGTAAAGTGGGGGATGATACATTTACCATGGATTATAGACAGCCCTTATCTGCTTTCCAGGCTTTTGCCATTTGCTTAACTAGCTTTGGCACCAAACTTGCTTGTGAGTAATAATATAATTTTGGTGTCTCACTGTGCTTATTTATTCTGTGGATGTTTTAAGTGAATAGCTATTTTTTTTTTATAATTTTTTACTCGGCTTTGAGTCTACAATTTGATTGCAGGAAGCTTGTTGTAAATGTTATATCATCAATAGGACATGACATCTTCCATAATCAAATATATTGTACTGTTCCCGCGGTTGGTCCATCCGTTTGATTTTAGTTCACGTTAGTGTATGCCTGTTATGGCAGTTTTCTAAGCTCAGTTTCTTGTTATCAGCTAAATACCACGTATTTAGTTTGTGATTCTATTTTTCTGGTAAAACTGATTAGACTAAAGAGGGTGGCATAACAATATTTAATTTCTGTTGATGACATAAACGTCACACTAATGGAATGAAATAAACGTCATAATTTTTCTTGTTGGTATCCGGTACCTTGTGCTTTGGTGTGGATTGTTCTGGACCAGAAAAGATTTTATTTATTCAAGCATATAATTAATAATTCTACACTAGTAAAGAATATATTATTAATTGAGGAAACAGTTGCATCAATTAATAATGTCATCAATTCTAATTTAGATAAATTGTGGAGATATTCTTCAAAAGAATTCTTAAGTTGGTAAAAAATTATTTTTCGACACATGTTAAATTATAGTGTACAAAACATGGTTAACTGTGCAAAAACTTGCGATGATTGAAGCTGAAGCTAAATCAAATGCTTCATGAATGACAATGGATAATGGGTTAGTTGTGGCATGAATGATGTGTGAATCGTCCGTGTCCCGTTTATTCTCTTCTTTCTGATAACCTTTTTTTGTTCGATTGGGGCCATTTCCCTGCTTGCTTAAATGAAAAGTAATTGAAACTTTAGGTCCCACCATTTAATTTTGAAGGTGATTTCGATTAATGAAGCAAAACCATTTAGCAAAATATCTTACAAACGAGAGGTAAAGAGGGACAATTACACACAGACATTTTGTCGGATTCAATTTCTTAGCTAGCTACTCAGTACTCACAGATTTCATGTCTTCTGATTTGATTGCAAGGTGATTCCATTGTACTGCCACGGTTGGTGACCAATGTTTATTAGGTAGTTCATCTTTTGTCATTAATAATTGTTTATCATCACATAATGTTCCATCATTTCGAATGATTCTCTCTGTATACGCGTATTTCTATATATGCCAGTTAATAAAAATATCATTTATGGATTTATATAATATTTTAATAATCAGATACAAGGAATAAAAGATTATCGACAATAAAGAAAAAAATCTTACGTTTCTTTTTGTGTTAGACTAACAAACATATATGGTTAACATGTTATTTTAGTATGCAAATAATTTTAAGTCCTAACTTTAATATTATCATTGTAATTTTTTTTTTGACAATTTGCTTTTTTGCAAATTTGGTAAATTAAATCTTACGTTTATCACCTTATTACTTTAAAACTTAAGGTTGCATGATGGTCATGGTTTCATAGTTCAAATTTGTGTCAAATCATAATTAAAATGATTACCCTTAATTTGAACGTATGCATATATTTTCTGGGGATATTAATAGTGAATTATTTTCTAAATCAATTGAACCAATCCAATCTTGAATGGATAGCTTCATTGGTTAATGGCTAATCTACCTTTCAAAATATTAATAGTAATTGAAGCTTTCAAACAGATAAGTCCAGTTTAGTCCCATGATTCAATAATTTTGTTCAAGCTTTCTTTCTGTTATCATCACCATATATTTAGAGTCCAAATAAAATGGTACCAGAAATTCGCTCAAAAAGCAAGGAATAGGGTGCTGCAGAAAGATTCATGGAGCACATGCTACCTGAGATGCTCTTAAATATTCTTCACTTGAAGTATATGTGTAATTACAAACAACAAATACGCATATTAACTAAACGGAGTGAATATATTTCTATGGATAAAGAAAAATGAAGTGAAATTATAAGTCATAACTTAAGGTTTGCATGCAAATAATTGCATGTATGCCAACAATGTCCCACTGATAGGAAGATATTAGTATGCATTCTTCTTTGATTTTTACATTTCGTTTCGTGCACTTACAACAAAGTAGTTGAATTAGTTAAGAACTTTGTGGTTAATGTCTTGTACCAACTGCACACTAAGACAAAGCTTGGCCCAATTATTTTTAGACTTTTTCCTTTTTGATTCTTGGTTTGGTTTACCAAAGCAAGGGAGGGAGAAAAGGGAAAAAGAATACAAAGTGAGAAGATTTTTAGATTATTTTATAGAAAAGTGAAAAAAGAAGTTAAAATAAAGCATAAATATGTGAATAAAATGACATAAATATACTTTTGATAAAAATATACAAATTTTGCGATGCATTTTGATATTACACTATACCTGTTCTCCTTTGTTTTCTCTTCAAAAGTGTTTGAATAAAAAAAAATGGATCTCACAATATTTTTTACTCTTTCTTTCCTTCTTTAAATTGTATCGATCAAAGAAAATAATAAATTTATTATCCTTTCTTTTATTGTATCATGTATTACTCATTTCAAATTATGCATAAAAGAATTAGATGCAATAAACATATTTTGAAAATCTACTTCTTTCAAATGATGCATAATTCTATATAATAACATATTTTAAAAATCTTTTATGATGTGTTTGAATGATGAATTTTAAGAAGACAAATCATTTTTTTCTAAAAAATTTCAAATACTTTAAGATAAAATATTTTGTTGAGATAAAAAAATTTATAAAGAATTTAAAATTTAAATATTTATAAAATTCGTTAAATCAGTAGAATTTAAAATTCTAAACACATGTAAGAATTTTAAATTTTGGATATTTTTTATTTCTTATTTACCCTATACATCTTTTATCTTTATATAATTTTTCTCTTACTCTCCTATTTCATATCTTTCCTTTTGCCTCTCTCTCTTTTTTTTTTTCTTTCTCTATTATGGTTCTCTCTCTCTCTTTCTTTTCTCACTATCTCATTTTTTTTATTCTCAATCTAACTTTTATCTCTTTAATTTTTTTTTCCTCTTTCTTTTCTCTCTTCTCTCTAGGCATTGTAATAGGACGAGTCAGGTATAAGTTTCATGATAAATTATTTTTTCATTTTTGCAAAAAATACACACAATATTTTTAATTTATTTTTTTGTTATATTACAATTGTAATTGAATTGTTTGTCTATCTCATATTTTAATCAAGATGCTTCTTAATAATTAAAAAACCATAAATATTTCACATCATAATAAATAATTACACATAATTAAATATTAAAATTCTTTAAAACAATCAAATTGAGAATGAGTATTAAACTAGAACGGGAACGGAGACGAGTATTAAACCAAGGATGAGGACGAGGCGGGTAAGTATATACCCATCCTCCTCCCCGTCCTCGGTTTAATATTTTGAGTTTTACTTGTACTCGTATCCGGTTAAACTGGGTATTCTCCATCAAAGTCAGGACGGATTTGGGTATTATCCACGAATACGGATTTATTTGTCATCCTTACTTCTCTTTCATCTTTCATTCAATGTTTTAAAAATTGGACTAATCATCAAATTGATCAAAATACTGGATTAGTGAGTTATAAGTCAAATCAATGAATTACTAATTTAATCATGTGACTCGATCTATATTAATTTTTTGTTTAAAATATTCATATATATTTTAGAGTTAATCACTTATACATTGTCAATGTAAAATTTTTTTATATTGACAATCAATTATATCTCTTAACTGTACCATGTCACTATTAAAAGTAAATGTGTTTATAGTGATATGACACAATTAAGAAATATAATTGGTTACTAGTAAAAAAACTTTACACTAACAGTATATAGGTGATTAACTCTATATTTTATACCAATAAAATTCATATCATATTTCAAAAAATTCTCAAAATGATTCTAGTCAATATAATATTAACATAGTTATAAAATTATAAATTGATGAAACCGTATGTTATGATTTACAAATTACGTCTAATCTTCAACACATATAACTTTTATTCATGTGTTGATGTTTAATATATTATAGAAAAAATCCGCATCCTTCCGACTCAATCGTCCGAATCGTATTCCGAATGATTAAAAAATTAATTTAAAGCACAATCTGGGCCGGGTTGAAATTTACAAAGAGCCCTAAACCCTAGACCCAAAAAAACCCCTAAAAAATTCATCTGGGTCTTTCTGCATTAGAAATGAAGATGAAGGAAAGTTGGTTCCTTTAAGTGAAAAAAAGGTGGTGCAAGGTAAAACCTAATGAGAATAAAAATTATTACTTTTTAGTGCCTTCTTCCACGATGCCTAACGAATTAAAGAACGCCTCTCGTTGCCACGGTGGTCAGTCTTTTGGTTGCGGCGGCGGAGAACCCATCACAGTGGCGATTGCTTTCCCCCCCCTCTTTTTTTCCTTTTTAATTTTAATTGATTTTGATTTAAGATGATTTTTTTTTTCTTCCTCTTCATAGACGGAAAACTATTTTTAAAATTTAATTTTTAATTTTTAATGGTACATGGGTGAGGGACACACTTGGCTACTTCATCCCTTTAAATCCTCAAAATTCAAACTTTTTTATTTGTTTTCTGTTAATTGATGTCAATTTTTTTTTTTTGTCTTGCAGAGGTGAAGGAGAAGTGGGTGAGGGACGATGTCCAAGTCTTGCAAAGGGTTGGCCATGGAGTTAGTCAAGTGTCTCAGTGAATCTGATTGTGTTAAGGTTCGGTTTGGATCATTTGTATAACATTGTTGGATTTGAAAAAGAATGATTTTTTCTGTGTGATTCGTGCTGTTTTTAATCTTGAATTTGTGTGTGTATTGGAAAATAGGTTGAGAAGAGATCATATAGGGAATGTGTTGGAGAGAAGAGTCCATGCATACCCAGTGAATGTGTGGGACTCAGGGAAACCTATTTCAATTGCAAGAGAGGCCAGGCAAGTGTTCAACTTTTCACCTGATCATGCTACCTTTTGTGTGATTTCAAATGCATAAAGCTGCCATTTTTTATTTTTTTTGGGATATCCATTTTCTATGCAATTGATTTTCTTCTAGACTCTAGTGCTAGCATTACTTTAGTTTAGAGTTTAATTATAATGCACTGTGTAAAGATTGTTACATTGATAACCGATTAAAATCACTTTGCATTCACTTTTAAAAGTAATTATTATAAAACTGGGCAATTTTCAATTGAATGGCAAGTGTGACTGAATGTTTTATGATTGAAACTATTGCTGCTAGTTGACAAATGTTGAATGTTTCATGATTGGGTATTGCTATTTTTCTCTCCTAGAATTGTTTTTGGATAAGATTACTCGGCCCTTATTCTCGTTTAGGAATGAATTCAACAAATTTGTTCTCAGGAGCAATTGTATCTGTTTTTAGTACTGCTCAAATGCTTTAGGCTCATTTTGTATTATTAAGGCTTTCATGACCTGTACTTCTAATTAAATTGGTTTGCAATCAGTCCTAACAACCGACTTAGATTTATTTAACATCTGACCATCATCATTGCAAATGTTATAAATGTATATAGTTGATGAATAAGATGATGAATAAATTTATGTTCATGTTTAAGCTTCAGTGTTATATTAAAAGTTGAACAGCTATTTTTTCTTTTGCCATTCTGATCAGGTTGACATGAGAGCTAGGATTCGTGGAAACAAGGGTTATTAATGTTCCCATCATACATTGGAAAACTCTGTAGTTGTTCTGTCCCGTTCAGGTTCTTTCAATATTTAGCTCAAGGATCAAGATGAAGTCAACACAAGTAAAAGATGAGGGTGAATCACAGAAATCGGAGGCCTAATTAATTGTTTGATTTGATGTCATTATAAGCTACGAATGCACATGACAGCTAGAATTTTGCTTTTATAGAGTTCATTCATATACTATCTAGTATTAGCAACCATAGTAGTGCATGTACCTTCGCCTATACTCTTGAATGACAGTTTCTTCTTTCTCATATACTAGTTCCTTTAAGGGTGTGTTTTGTGCACATTTTTTTTTTTTAGTTTTATAGGAATCTGAAGATAGGATGTTAGTTTTTTATGTTTAATTTATTACTTTAAAAAATGACATTCTCAGTAAACAATATTTCCAGGTAATGTTTTTTTACACAATTATTCTATGGAATCCTAAACCCTAAACGTGTTACTATAGCAAAAATATCACGTTTTTTTTATTTGTTAATTTAATACGGTAAAAATCTATGATTTTCTAGTAATATATATAAATATTTTTAATAATATTTATGATAAAGCAAGCAGAATTTCTGGGTTTTATGAGTTTTATAAATCAATATTTTTGAGCATTTTGTGTACCAAACAATCCTTGAGGCTTGTAGATGCTCATATGATAGTTTCAAGGTTTGTTTGTCATAATTCATGCATCCCATTTTTTATACAGGATTTGGCCCTTCTACTTATCTCTCCATGATTCCTGAAAACCTGAGATATAGAGAGGAAGATTGATTTAGCTGTGAGGAAAAGGAAAAGGAAAAGATGGGGCTGTGGAGTATTGCCACTTCAATTTGTCACTCCAAACTCTTTAATTTTGGTTCTTGTTTAACTTTTCAATTTTGTTCTAAATCTTTTTAAAACAAAATTCATGATTATTTAAGTTTACTTGCTTTATATGCTATATGCAGTAGTACCGAACAAAAAATAAGATGAAATGAAATAAATGTATTTAATTATTTTATAATAAATAAAAACATTTTAATTGTGGTGCCATTATTATTAATCTTTTTAATAACACATCTAACAAATAAATTAAAATATAAAAATTTTAACTTAATAGAAAAAAGTATATTTTAGCAATGAAAATACTGAATTTACTTGAAACTTTATTGTTTTCTTTTGTGTTAAGTAGCCTCATTCAAGGTAGTGTTGAACTCTATTATTGAATTTCTTTGATAATTAAAAGGAGAAGTCATATTAGAATAATTTAAATAACTCATGAAAATAACTATTTTTGTGATAAATAAAACTTAAAAAGTAGAACTTTCATTAAAATTTAATTAGAAGATATTTTAAAAGAAAAAGAAACCCAAAAAATGGTAAAAGGTTATCTAAATTTAGGTTATCGAAAATTCGAAACCCTAAACATTACCTAAAGCTTATAAATGCTATTGCTTATGCCTATTTATATAGTGTTTTTGTTTTAAGCTCTCTAAGACCTTTAATCACAATATTAACCAACGCTTAAAGACGCCTTTAGACACAATTAGGCCAAATCTTAGGAAGTCATCATCTATTATTAAAAATTATATCACACCAAAATGAGTTTTTTCAATATTATTTTGAAGTATTGACTTTGTTATCTCATTTCACCTTTTTAAATTACTTGAAGATGTGGGTGTAGTTGCATGTTTTATATAGTAATTTTTGTTATTAAAATACAAGTATCCTTCATTAATAACAATTTTATTTGAGATGAATAGGATTAGTGTGAATGACGAAATTCTCCTTCAGTATTTAAAACAACTATATGCTCAGGATTCAAACTCAAACAACTGGTTAAATTGGAACAATTTATTACTAATTAATCTATATACTCGTCGATATTTCATATTATAATTAGTCCTGAATGGATAAATTTCATAAATACTTATTAAAAAACAAGAAAAAATTAAATTATATATATAAGTCAACAAATATATTTTAGAAAACCTATTATGAAAAAACTTTTAAAAACTAGTTTATGTAAGTATTTTTTTTTTAATTTTTTTTCTATAAATGTTTATGAAGAAATTTATTAAAAGAAATAAATATGCAATGCCAAAGAAAATAATGATATTAAGCTTTTCTTTTAAACTAGCTCATCAAATTATTCACTCATTTTTTGCTCTATAAATTATAAGCTTTGTTTAAATAACAAACTTAAAATGCAATACAAAAGAAAACAATGATTAAAACAAAAAAAAAATCATTTAAAAAAATTCTCAAATGTTTTTAAATTGTTTGGATTTATGATTCTAAAAAATAATCAGAATCTATAAATAAATAAAAAATCTGCTTTCAGATTTTCTTAAAAGGTGATAAAAATAACTTCAAAATAATCATTTGTCTAGATGAGAGAGAAAATAATGGGCAAAATAGGGAACAATATTTCAGAAAAAAAATATCCTTAATTTTAAAAATCACAAGTATTTCATTATTCTTTCTTCAAAGATAAAAGTGAATTTTAATGCCCTTTATGATTATTTTCCAAAATAAAAAAGCATTTTCAAACAACCTAAAATTATTTTCAAAATTAAAGCAAGTTTATAATTTTAACCGCATTTAAATGTTTGGTAAGCGTAGTAGTGGGCTAGTAAGCATGAGAACATTGGTTAACTGAAACTGAAAGTTACAGGGTAAAAATCTTTAAGTCCATTTATTACATTAAAAATGTTGAATTAAATTAATTGTTAAAATAATTAATAAATATAAAATGGCAAAAGAAAATCTATATAATCTTTTACATAACTTTTATTTTGGCTTTGTAAACATAAGTTTGTTTCTAAGTAATTACAATGTTCATTATATTTTTAAGTAATAATAGTTTTATTTTTTTATTGATCTTAAATTATTAGCATTTTAAGATCAAATATTTTATTAAAAAATAAAATAAGTATATTAAAAAATTTAAAGAATGAAACGTAAAAATCTTTATGCAAAAGATAATAAAAAAAAGTGTAATAAAATGTAAAGATAAAAATAGAAGAAAAATAAGCTACAAAATTGAATTAACTTGTAAGATAACATAATAAATTTATTATGAATAAAACATTATTTTAGTCTTTATAATTTAAAATAATTTTTTTAGTCCTTATATTAATTTCTTTAAATTCTTTTTAATCCATATAATTTAAAATAAATATTTTTAGTTCATACATTTGTATTTTTTTTTTGTCATTTTAGGAGTTTTTTACTCAAATAATACTATTTTAAATTTTTTTTTACCCAAATAGCAACTTTGCAAATTTATTTCCCCAACTACCACCATTTACTGTTCACGTTTCGGAATGGGCCGTTTTGAAATCAAAATGGACCATTCCGGATTAAAAAATAACACATGGAAAACAAATCAGAAAGGGCCGTTCCAAAATCAAAATTAGCACATAAAAAGTGGAACTAGAACGGCCCGTTCTGCTTTCAGAATGGGTCGTTCTGACCTACAAATAATTTTTTTTTTTTATTTTCATTTATCAAATACCAAAACTCAGAAACTAACATTAAATAATTAAATTTATTGAATATTAACATTATAAATATATCTAAATAAATTTATTAAAATTCAATACAACAATAAAGATCAATGGTGGCAGAAACTGATTATGTTGTTCTCTAATGTCCATCTCTGTTTTAATCCTGCTAGACTTTGGCCGACCCTTGAAAGTTCGCTTGAGTTTTGGATTTGGCCACAAAGTTGGACTAGTGTAAGTAGGCCAATAATCTTCATGTCGAAGCTCTCCAAACTGTCCTTCGTATACCTTTTTGGAACTTGTCACAATCATACCACATTTCATTTAGTCTTACTGTAAATCTCCCAGCGGGTCAAACTTTTCTCGGATGTAATCTTCATGTCGAAGCTCTCCAAACTGTCCTTCGTATACCTTTCTGGAACTTGCCGCAATCATACCACATTTCATTTAGCCTTACTGTAAATCTCCCAGCGGGTCAAACTTTTCTCGGATGTAATCTTCATGTCGGAGCTCTCCAAACTGTCCTTCGTATACCTTTCTGGAACTTGCCGCAATCATATCACATTTCATTTAGTTTTACTGTAAATCTCCCAGCGGGTCAAACTTTTCTCGGATGTAATCTTCATGTCAGGACTCTCCAAACTGTCTTTCGTATACCTTTCTAGAACTTGTCGCAATCATACCACATTTCATTTAGTTTTACTGTAAATCTCCCAGCGGGTCAAACATTTCATTTGGAGAGCTCCGACACGAAGATTATTGGCCTACTTACACTGGTCCAACTTTGTGGCCAAATCCAGAACTCAAGCGAACTTTCAAGGGCCGGCCAAAGTCCAGCAAGATTAAAGCAGAAATAAACATTAGAGAACAACATAATCAGTTTCTGCCACAATTGATCTTTATTGTTGTATTGAACTTTAATAAATTTATTTAGATATATTTATAATGTTAATATTCAATAAATTTAATTATTTGATATTAGTTTCTGAGTTTTAGTATTTGATAAGTGAAAATCGAAAAAAAAAAATTATTTGTAGGTCAGAACGGCCTGCAGAATGAGCCGTTATAGTTTCACTTTTTATGTGTTAATTCTGATTTTAGAACGACCCGTTCTGATTCATTTTCCATGTGTTATTTTTTAATTCGGAACGGCCCGTTCTAATTTCAAAACGGCCCGTTCCGAAACGTGAACAGTGATTGATGCTAGTTGAGGAAATAAATTTGCACAGTTACTATTTAGGTAAATTTTTTTGAAATAGTATTATTTGAGTAAAAAACCCTCATTTTAGTGCCTAATATTATCTTTTTTGTAACTTTATCCATTTTGTATTGATATGAAAAAATCCTTCAATCTTGTGAGTTGAAGGCATAAAATGTCAATAGATTTAATTTAAAATAACTCAAATAAAACAAATTTAATATCAAATTAATACATCCATTACATCAATACAAAAGAAAAGAAACGTTACAAAAAAAAAATTAATAGGGACTAAAAAAAATTAAAAATTACAAGTTTAAAGATTAAAAAAAATCTATAAGGACTAAATTTTTTAAAAAAAGTAAGTATAAGAACTAAAAATCCATTATAAATAATAAAAATCAAGATAAAATAAATGAAACTATAAAGACTAAAAAAGATATTTTAACCTTTATTTATCAAATATCTTAATTTGATTAAATAAGCTTTTAAGCCAATTAAATAATACACTAATTTATTTGACACGTGCAAGAAAATCAAATATGGTATCTACTTTACCTAAAAATCACCTTTTGATACAAACCTTTTTCATGTTTAAACAAATATGCTCGTAATTTATAACTGATTTTCATAATTCTCAACTAATTAGTTTCGACACAAGACTCTTGCAATTCTCCATATTCAACGAAACTTTTGTATACAAATCACTTTTTAAAGGAACACGCCCAAAAGTGAATCAACTACTTGCAAGTTAGCCATCATATTTTGAGTGATATTTGCAGTTGAAGGATTTACAAAACTATCCCCTAGTGCAGGGGAAATTCACAAGTCATTATGAACAAGGCTTCACATTATAGGCCTCTCAACAAACCACATTACAAAGTGCCATTCACTTTACCTGCACTTTCCTGAAGAACATCCTAAGCATCAGTAGAATTATCAGGTTCACCCTGTGAAAACAACTTAACCTAGTAAGTATACATTCAAAGAAAATATATTATGAAACCAAATTAAATGGGGCATATAGACATATTGCTTATGAATTATGATACAATTACATTTGAATCTTCAATACAACCCATAGTAGGATTTTTGGGTTCAACCTGTGAAAATAAACTCAGCCAAGTAAGCATTAATAATGTATTAAACAATTAAAAAAAAAATAGTATGCCAAATAGGATTGCTCACCAAAAGCTTCCTTGAACCTGCCAAGGAAGAATCCAAATCCTTTAACACAATAGCTGGCAATTGATCAATGTCCCAACCAACAACTTTGCAGATGACCTGTGCATAGGCCCTGTGAGCTCGCTTCCTTTTTGTCCTTAGTATGGTAGTAGAGTGCTGAATTAGTGCAACACAATCCTTAAATCTCTTCCACACCTTCTTCCCTATACCTCCACAAACCAAACAATAAAAATCTCCTTCCCTATAATTGTCCTCGTAATATCTCCTCAAGTCACCATCTTCTGCAAACACTTTTTCAAAGAACTTATACTCCTCACATTCTTTAGAATCATAGTTATCTACCAACTCATCTTCATTGTCATTTTCATCACCATCATAACCAGCATCATCATTGTCATCTTTGTCACTGTCAGAACCAGCATCACCAACTAAGAACTTCTGGCAAGCTTCCAATGCTTTGTGTTGCAATTGCAGCACTGCCACAGTTAATTTCTCTTCTGCTGATAGAGAATAAATGAGAGAAGATGATTTGATGTCATCAAAGGAAGGCCATCCTGAAGCTGTAGAAGAGACACCAGCCTTGGGGTTTTCACATACCCATTCAGCATCCGAAACCATAGATTCATGAGATTCCTACATTCAATTTTCATTAGTAACAACTAACAAGAAGTTAAAATATGCGGGAGTTGGGATTTGCTAGTAGCCAATACTAATTGCAATTTATTAGAAATCACAAATTTTAGTGACTCTTCTAAATAATGAGACTTATTAGATGAAAAGTGAGACATACTAAAATTTGTGATTTCTAATAAATGTTGGCCAATAACAGTGTTAGAAAGAGAGAATTCAAAAGTGTTGCTAGCATTTCTCATATAGGCATTCTTTTGCTATCTCGATTTTCACAAAATTGAAGAAAGTGCAGCCTATCACAGGCAGAATGGTAGCCAATAAATACAAATAAATTTAATCTTTTTAAAATAAGATGCTATCCCTTAAAAGCTAGGTCATTGAATTTAATCTAGTAATGTATTTTTTGTGCATGCTCTAGAGTCTCTAGACAATTCACACAACTTTTATTGTAGTCAGTGGTGAAATAAACCTCGTAGCTTTTGAAGGAACACCTTGCTTTGCCACAGGTTACCAATCCACTCCTGTGAATCTGGCAACTATTTCTCTACCATTAGATAAATGCTTGCTTGTATAATTTCATCGAGAAGAAAACCTTAGGTTTTACATAGATTATCATATAACAAAAATTTATTCTCAAAATACATAAATTAGTTGGCATTAAAGCAGCAAATTTTCCCCAAATAGCATTACAACCCTGAACATATAACCTAGAAAGATACACAAAGGATAAAAACAAAAAGAGTAAAGGTGCACACTTCTATTCAGCATTCACCATTTGAGATAGAATGCAGTTGTCTCACCTTAACTATTTCTCCTCCATTTTCTGAGCTCAGTTCCAAGACCTTTCCATCTAGATTCTCATCTTCCTTAACAGAACTCTGCAGAAAAAGAGTTAGCATCAGAACCATGCCAAAGTCTTTTAACCAATTCACATCACTATGTACCCATAATTTCTTTCAAGCTTCTTTTTCTCTTCCTTAAAAAGGTGGAACTGATACATTAAAATAATTAACCTTGTTAACACTTTGACAAAACCATTTTACATACTCCCCAGGCTCAACAAGTTTAGAAACAATTAAGCATCTTTCGTACCATCAGCATTATCATTAAAAGTTAAAACCACACAAAACCAACTAATGCAATCACAAAAATATGTACAAAAATATACTTTAATTGAACTCAAAAACATTAAGGATGATTTTTAGGTTCAACATGTAAAAATAGCCTCAGCCTAGTAAACATTAACTATGTATTTAAAGACTCAAAATAAAGAATATAGATACATCAATTAGAATAGCTCACCAAAAGCTTCCTTGAACCAGCCAAGGGGGAATCCAAATCCTTTAACACAATAGCTGGCAATTGATCAATGTCCCAACCAACAACTTTGCAGATGACCTGTGCATATGCCCTGTGAGCTCGCCTCCTTTTTGTCCTAAGTATTGCAGTAGAGTGATGAATTAGTGCAATACAATCCTTAAACCTCTTCCACACCTTCTTCCCTATACCTCCACAAACCAAACAATAAAAATCTCCTTCCCTATGATTGTTCTCATAATATCTCCTCAAGTTAGCATCTTCTGCAAACACTTTTTCAAAGAACTTATACTCCTCACATTCTTTAGAATCATAATTATCTTCCAACTCACTTTCATCCTCATCGTCTTCGTCGTCTTCGTCACCATCAGAACTAGCATCACCAACAAAGAACTTTTGGCAAGCTTCTAATGCTTTGTGCTGCAATTGCAGAACTGCCACAGTTGCCTGTTCTTCTGCCGATAGAGAATATGCCAGAGAAGACGATTTGATGTCATCAAAGGACGGCCATCCTGAAGCTGTAGAAGAGACACCAGCATTGGGCCTTTCACATACCCATTCAGATGCCAGAGATTCATTAGATGCCTACATTTGATTTTCATTAGTAACAACCACCAATAAGTAAGCATACCTGGGAGTTGAGATTTGCTAGCACAATCCATTGTTATTCCAATTTTCACAAAATTTGTAGAAAGTGCAGCCTATCACAGGTGGTGATGGTAGCCACAAAATAGGAATAGCTTCATCATTTTAAACTTTAAGAAATTATTCCTTAAAAGCTAGCTCTTTGTATTTGATCTAGTAATAGTCAAGAAAATTCCACACTTTGTATAGTAGTAAATGGTGAAATAAACCCCAGATTTTGAAGGAACATCAAGTTACATTACTTGTAGGTCAGCAGGTATCAACCCACTAATGTGAATCTTGTAACTATTTCTCCACTATGACATAAATGCTTTTATAATTTCAACCAGAAGAATAAATACCTTAGATTTTAAATAGATTATCATAAAACAAAAAAGTATTCTTAAAATGCATTAATTAGCTGACGGCGTTAATTGTTGAAGCAGCAATTTTCCCTTAAATCACATTATAAGTTATAACCATGAATATATAATGTAGAACGATACAAACAGGACAAATTCAAAATGGAGAAAAACAAAAAGAAGTAAAGGAGTATGCACTATTCAGCATCCATAGTTTGATATAGATCGAAGTGGTCTCACCTTAACTATTTCTCCTCCATTTTCTAAACTCATTTCCAAGACCTTTTCATCTAGATTTTCACTTTCCTTCACAAAACTCTGCAGAAAGTGAGTAAGCATCAGAACCATGCTAAAAAACAAATTAACCTATTCACGTCACTATGTGCACATAGTTCCTTTCTAGCTTATTTTTCTCTCCCTTTAATAAGATGAAATATATAAAAATTGCGACAGCGTTTCCAGCCACAACATCAAGGTTTTTGGAGTCTTTGCAACTGCAATTGTGTTTTCATTTCTCAGCACTTTTCCGCAATTGAAACCAGGACTTAGGTTGCAATTTAAAACCTCTTTGGAAATAATTAACCTAGCTAGCTAACATTCTGATGAAACCCTTTTGCATGACAAGTTTACAAACATGTTGTTGCATCATCAGCATTGGATTAAAAGTTAAAATACAGCATGCAATGACAAAAACATGCAACGAATATGGTTTAATTGAACTTAAAAGCAGCATTACCTCTGACCCAATTGGCTCCATCTCCCACAGAGACAGTGTTAGGGTACTGTCAAAGTAAAACGCTTCAATGGTGAGAGTGAGAGTATCTACAAATACAATATACAATCTTTCTTCTGTCTCCAGCTTTTGGGCCTTCCCGAGGCCCACCTGGTCCTTCCAACTTCCATGTTCCGCTTCTCTTTTACATTTTAGTTTCATTAAATACTTCATCAAATGATTAAATTAGTGCTAAAATATAATTAGTTAAAATATTTTTTTAATCTTCATAATTTTACTTACTGTATTTTTTTTAGTTTTTATTTATAGTTTAAAATATATTTTTTTAGTTTGCTCATCATTTTCAATTTTTTTAGTTCATATAGCTTAAGATAAATTTTTTTAATCTCAACACTTCCAATTCTTTTGTTGACATGATAAAAACCTTCAATTTTGTGAAGGTAAAACAAAAGTGTCTTAATAATGGACGTCACATGTGAGAGAGTACAAAAGTGATACGAAGTGTTGAGAGACCTAATTTAGAGTAACTCTATCTAAATAAATTTGACATCAAAATGCAACATAGTAAGTTTTAATGATTATCTTTTAGCAATTAATTATCTATATGGAGCTTAAGGTGTGTGGTGGGGCTTTAAGAGTTGAGGAACTCTCAAGAGTCTGATTAGTTTTGGGAGTCTATGGCCAGAGGTCCAATTGTCCCTAAGGGAGGAAAATATATAAGGTTTCTATGTAAGATTTAGTCTCATAAGTTTATATACTTTACAACCTTAAAGAGATGGACTCAAGTTCCTGATTTCCTTATTTTCTCTTCTTGCTCCTAAAATTTTGAAGCTCATAGTTGAGGGTTCAAGGCATTATGGTGCATAACTCTTAGGATTCAAAAGCTCGAAGTTAGTTCTTCCTTCCTTCTCTTCTCCTTTCTTGGTTTAGCTCATAGTTGAGATAAGAGAATTTAAAACTCAGATTTTGATGGATTGACTAATCACATGTGTTCTAGATTTACTACATACATGATTGTATGGATGATTTTGAGTAGAAAATCTCTCATTGGATGAACTCGAATATTTGAGTTGGTGAGAGTGAAATTGGGTGATCTTGTTCAATTCTTGATGCATGTTGAAGTTTCCTCCCATTCTGGATTGTATGTGGATAGTGGGTGATATATGGTGGATTGCATGTTGAATTTTGAATCTTGGATGCAAGATTTTTTTTTTGTAAGTTGTCTTCTTCGAGGTGATGAAGTGTGTCTTGAGACTCATGCAAGTTTTTGGGCAAACTTGCTCATAGTGAGAATTTACTCTATCCAAGCGAGCTCGTGCAACCATGCCTAGTGTGCTCTTTGACTTAGTTTGCTCAGAGTAAATTTTGATTGCTCAAAGTGAGGAGATGTGGAGGTTTAGGGGTGGTCCCTGACTTCACTCACTTAGAGCAAATTTTTGAGCACTTTGAGTGAATTCCATTGCTTAGAGAGAGGATGCCATCGCTTGAAACGACTAGATCGATACTCTTAGGATGCTTTCTATCTAGGCTTTCTCCAAGCAAGTTTCTTAACGCCATCATCGCTCAGAGCGAGATCCTAAACACTTGAAACATCGATTTCCTCCTTTATTGTTTAAGTTGGGTGCTTGTATGAAGTAAGAATGAAGGTTTAATGTAATACCTTGTATGTTGATTGTATGATGATATGGGATAATGTATGGTGATGATAATTCAAATGTTGTATGATGAACATGGATAAAATGTTTGAGTCTATTGCATGCTGTATGATGTAAAAGAATGATATAATAAGCCTTGATATGCTATATTTATGTGGTTGAAATGGTGATGAACATTGATATGTTATGTATGATGGATATTTCATAGTTACATGATTGGAGAGTTGATTTAGCATTGGTGTGCTATTTGTGGATGAGCTATTTAACATTGGTATGTTATGTATGATGGTGTGGTTTGATCTCTATATGCATTGACTTATTTGACTTAGGACTAAAGAAAAAAACGTTATTTTGAAAGTTTCAGATCTCATATAGGAAATCTTGTTATGGCGTTGAGAGGTTAGTTGTTGAAAAACTCTCCTTAAGTAGGTATAAAACTTTTGGAACGGATTTTTGTTGAGTCTCCTATAGATCCTTAATCAATGTGAAGTAAAGTATGAAATCATAGGCTACAACCCTTAATTGATAATTGGAAAGGTTGTGTGGTTACTTGAAGATAATTAGTAGGCTAATTCCATGAGTGACTTGGAATGCATGTTAAGGTCGTAATATGCTTATATCTAATTATGCTAGTTCTAATAGTGGAATCGAATTTTCCTAGTGTGAGTGGTGAGACAGGAGGGATTGATATCTCATTTTAGCTGTCGATTTAGCAGATGCATTGGGTGTGAAAATAATCAAGTTGATTCGGTAAGATCAAGTCACTTAAATTATTCAAGTGTATTACGAGATCTCCGTAGATGAATGTGTAACAACGCATTAGTGAGGTATGTATGCATATAATATGTTGTTGATTGGTGTATTCATATGCATTGGGTGAATATCTTATTGTATGATATGACTTGGTGAATGTTTGATTTGCTTTGGTGCTTAGCTTTTTGACATGTTGAGGCTTGTATGTTATGAACCATGTGGTGTGTGATTAGTTTACATGTGAAGAGCAGTATAGATGTTTTCTTTCTAAACTTGTATTTTTTTTAAAATATCTAACTTACTCTTACTTGTTTTCATGTGATCGAACTATAATGATCATATTTAATATGAAAGCATGACAAGAATATGTCTACAAAGGTGCATAGTTGAGATCATTTGACAGATGATAGCTTTGGATGTTCTTTTGATGCTACTTGAGAGTAGTCTGTATAAATGTGTGTGTATATACATACACACACAATAATTTGATAGAGTGAAACTAACATAAATGTATGAGGAGGGTTCAAATGACACCGGTGTAACTTTTATTAAGTGTTACACCGCTTAATAACTTTATATTAAATATGAATTTTGAAAATCCAACCGTTAGATTGAAAGTTTTTTTACTCTTATATCATATATACAAAATTTTATAGTAATCTAAGATGATTTAATACTTCATTCTTATAAAACAAAATTGACGTAATATATTTATTTCAAAATATATTAAAATATGAACACTTTGATTACCCTTAAGTTGTTCAATTTTAATAAAATTTGACACACACATAAATTGATATGAACTTTCAATCTAACAGTTAGATTTATAAAATTCACATTTAATATAAAGTTATTGAGCGGTGTAACACTTAGTAAAAGTTACACCGGTGTCTTTTGAACCCTCCTCTAAATGTATATATAGAATAAAGAAGGATTACTAATAATAAATTATCTTTATTAGTTGAAACTTATTAAAAATTGTAAAATTTTAAAAAAAATATTAAATATAATAAAATATTTGTCAAATTATATATTTTTTAATAAATTAACTAAACAAATTTTATGTTGTTTTTAATAAATTTTAACTTATTAGAGATAATATTTAAAAGAGTGCTATGTTGATGGCATCTGTGATAGAACACGTGTGAAATGGCGCGTGGTTCTCAGTCCTCACCCTGGTGTGTGTGCATGTCCCCACTGGAGAGGGGTCAAGGAAGGAGAAGCTCGAAGATAAGGAAACAAAACCAAACATAACGAAACAAAGGAACCACTTTCTTTCCTCTCTCCCAATGGCTACTTCCATTAACAGGTTTTCCCCATTTCTCTCTCTCTAACTCTCGCTCTTATGAAATTCAATTTGACTTGTGAATTTCTCGTTTGAAGCACTTCTCTGGGGTGGAAATATTCCTCCTTGTTCGTACAATCCAATGGCTTCAACGTTGCTTCGCCTCCTTTCAAGCCGAAACCGCCACTCTCCAAGTTTTCTCTCACTTGCTCTGCTGACTCATCTTCTTCTGGTAACCTCCATTTCTTCCTTCCCTCTGCTTTTTCAGCTCAAATCAGGAATTGGGTTTCTCTCTTCTTTCTTAATTGTGCTCAATTTCACTTGGGTTTTTATGGTATGTTGTTTAGTAGTATAAATGTAGTTGCTTTATCTGTATGGAATGCACTGCAAAATTCCATTAATTTAGAGACTGATTGTTGGCGCTGTTCGTTGTGTGATGCTAGAAAAGGGCAATTTGGATGTCAAATGACTTTTTTATAGGTGGTTGTTGAGTTTGATCGAGTTGATTTTGAACAAATGAATGAAAGGTACAGGAAAAGAATGTTTTTTATTTTTCGAAGAGTGAATTTAATTATCATTTGAGCCCGGAACACTGGAGTTGGCCCAGTGGGAGTTCAGAGCAGTATGTACAAAGTGCTGGATTCGAACTTTGTTGTTGTCATGTAATTTTTATTGATAAAAGAAAAAAACTATCATTATTCGAACTTTGTTGTTGTCATGTAATTTTTATTGATAAAAGAAAAAAACTATCATTATTCGAACTTTGTTGTTGTCATGTAATTTTTATTGATAAAAAAAAACTATAATTTGTGCCCAAGGGCAAAGTCAGTAGAAGCCTTAACAATGCAAATAGAAACCTTGACAATGCGGTCATAATTGCATTTACATACTTTTTTTTAAAACCTTGTTTGTTCCTAGAAGTTGTTTAACTTGGTTTCACACATTTGCTAATTCTTTAAAGGGAGGTGGGACTTGTATCTTTCAGACACTCCCATTGGCGAGAGTGTTATGAGCATTTTTCTCCTGCCTTTTTTTTATGTCTCACATGTAGACATGTCTGTGGAAATGTGCAGAAGTTGACTTGAATGCTGTCTTTGGTTTTTATTTTGATTTTGTTCAGATCCACTCTTGGTTAAGGCTGCTAGGGGAGATCCTGTTAGTCGGCCTCCAGCATGGATGATGCGCCAGGCAGGAAGGTACATGGCTGTTTACAGAAAGCTTGCTGAGAAACATCCATCCTTCCGAGAGAGGTCAGAGACAACTGATCTCATTGTGGAAATTTCTTTGCAGCCTTGGAAAGCTTTCAGGCCTGATGGAGTAATTATTTTCTCGGATATCCTTACGCCCCTTCCTGCATTTGGAGTTGATTTTGACATAGAAGAAGTAAGGGGACCAGTTATACATTCACCCATTCGATCTGAGGAGGGATTAAAGACTTTGCATCCGATTGACCTAGATAGGCTTAAATTTGTTGGAGAATCACTTAAGATACTGCGCCAAGAGGTAAAATTTAGTTGTGTCACCTTGTTTATGTCATGGCCATCCTTCTAAGCATGTTTCCCTTCTAATTCTTAGGTTGGTGGTAACGCTGCTGTTTTGGGTTTTGTGGGAGCACCTTGGACAATAGCAACATACATTGTGGAAGGGGGTACAACACGCACATATACAACCATTAAAAGCATGTGCCACACTGCTCCACATGTATTGAGGACTTTGCTTTCTCATTTGACGCAGGCAATAGCTGATTACGTTGTTTTTCAAGTGGAGTCTGGGGCTCACTGCATACAAATATTTGATTCATGGGGTGGACAACTACCACCTGATATGTGGGAACGCTGGTCAAAGCCTTATATCAAAGAGGTAACTTAGAAAAAAATCCCCATTTCATTTTTGCCTGATGAATTTTTATTTTAAATTTTAACTTTTAAACTTTTCATTTTGGGATTCTTGTTATATTAAACCTTCACTTGACTTTAACTAAGTTGGGGGAGAAAAATCGAAATCAAAGGCTACATCTTTAGTTTCTTAATATTTTATTGAGATTAGAATTGCTTTTAGTATCTTTTCACAATACATAAACTCAAGGTTGGATACTATATTCCCTTTCTCCTTGTCTTTTCCTTTTTGTCATATACTGCTTTCTGAATTTCCAGATTGTAAATTTGGTCAAGAAAAAATGTCCGGAGGTACCAATTGTTCTTTATATAAATGGAAATGGTGGCCTTCTCGAGCGTATGAAAGACACTGGAGTTGACGTTATAGGGCTAGACTGGACAGTAGATATGGCTGATGGAAGAAGAAGATTGGGTAGTGGGATAGGTGTGCAGGGAAATGTGGACCCAGCCTGCTTATTCTCCCCCCTTTCTGCCCTGACTGAAGAAATTCAGAGGTTGGTGTCATAGTATCCCTGTGCTTTGGTATTCATGAAGTCATTCCATATGGTTTTTGGCATATGGAACTTGACATAACCATCTACATTTCCATATAAGCACCATTCACTTTAGTCCTTAAATTTACAAAACGTCATTCATTTTAGTCCTTTTTTTTTGCAAACAAATGTCTAGGCAGCATATTTTTTGTTCATGATCCAGTGTCTAGGCTGTGGAGTTGAACCATATTTGCTTAATTAACTGCAGAACTAAAAATAATTAAAATGGCAAGGGAAACTAACACAGAAGTATAAAAACATTCTTTACGGATTTGTAGTTATGTTACTAATCTTTTTGTTTCAAAATTATAACACGGTGACTGAAACTGATATCTCTGCATGTTATGCTACTAGTGTTGTGTCCAACTGATCCCTCACAGTCTTAAATGGGAATGGAATGAGTGGTACCAGTGAATTATCTTGACTTCTGAATATGATAATTATTTGTCAGGGTTGTGAGGTGTGCGGGACCTAGACGGCACATCCTTAATCTGGGACATGGTGTTCTTGTTGGCACACCTGAAGAAGCTGTTGCACATTTCTTTGAAGTAGCTAGGAGCTTGCAGTTTGACACATTTTTTCAAAACAATACTGCAAAAGACCCTAATCTAGTAGCATAAGGACACACGCCATTAGTTCAAGCCCTTCTCCAAAGGAAGAGTGTAGGTTTAGTCCTTCCTTGTTATTATGCTGCTATGAGATGATCAAAGGTCTGAGGATTTGCACATTGCTGTACCGGCTAAGTAGATGAAGTTGTGATTTTTACATTCTGCTGTATTTATAATTGATTATGATAAATTAATTAGAGTATTCCTTCCAATTGTTTGATTCTGGTAAAATAATATTTTATTTCAAAAAATTAATTAATTTGTAATTTGTTATGGCTTTTCTGTTCAAATTGTACATTACATGACCTATGCGTTTCACGTGTTTGTATTAACTTACTTTAGAACTAAAAGGTTTTTAATCCAGAGCTTCATAATAATTTTTTGTAAGAAAAAATGATCAGTTTTTAAATTAGCTATTTTCTAATGTGCACACTTGTGCCCTGGAAATTTGTGTAGTTTGGTTGATTTATATAGAGTTTAGAGTAATGAGACGTGTATAACAAATTATAACATCATTTCTCATGTCTATTTCTCCCCACCTATCATTTATTATATTTCAAACTTCTCAGTGTTTACTTTTTTTTTTTTTTTTCTTTTCTCTTACACAAATATCATTTCATTAAAATTCTTAGGCTTATGGTATGTTTGTTTTCAACTTCTCTAAGAAAGATTTGTTTTTTTTTTGTTTTGTTTTTTTTTTTTAAATTTGATGATTAAAAAGTTATATGATATTATATAAGTTCATTTATTTACATAAAGGTAATAATCTTTAAAAAAAATTAAATTTAAAATACCATAAAAAATTATTTTCTAAAGAAATTCCCAAGCACAGCCTTAAAGTCCTTGATTTTCAAAGACTAAGTCCAAGTAAAATAATTCAACATGCACTGTTTTATTTTACTTCTATATTTTTTTTTTTTTTGTTTAACTTGGTGTAGGTACATTGAAGAGGTAGCTGATTAAGGTTACTTTCGAGCCTTCTCTTAAATATAAAAAGAACATTGAAGAGTAAGTCTAAGACTAAGCACACAGGTGATATGTTACTGCTTGAACTCTGGAATGGTTGCCTTATTGCTTTAGAGCCTCGTTTACAGTCTGTAGGGTCTTGTCATATGACAAAAACCCCAAAAATATGAACTCATAGCCATCCGTTGTTTTAACCTTCATGCATTTTTCTGTGGGATTCAATCCATTTGTAGCAGAACTCACTTTGCTCAACTGGTCCAGCTGCACTACCACCTACATGCTCCACACAAAAAATCAGTACTCCATCCAAGGTTTTATGGTCTCAAATAATAAAACTCAAATCAGCATTTTTCTCATTGGGGGTCTATTTTCCTATAACTTTATAAACATTGTGTGGATATCATTCCTCTACTAAGATATATGCATAACGTACGAAAAAAATATCAGCAAAGATGTATTAATTTCCCTGGAGGAAATTATTCAATCAATAGTCACTTTATTAGATAAGTACACAACCTGAGTACTGGGAGATCTAGTGCTGGTGTATGTATCTCTTTGGTGTGTACTACTCTTGAACCCTATTTAACTAGAAAAAGAATCATGAACGGAACATTGATATATATATATATATATAAGGAGCATATTAAGTGAGAGAAAATTTATTATGAGAGATGAGAGGGTTAAAATATAACCCTTAGATTAATTTCCTCTTACTTGATTAAACCTCAAATTTTCTCTCACTTGATTAATTTAAGGATTATATTTTAACCTTCTCATCTCTCATAATAAATTCTCTCTCACTTGATATGCTCTCTATATATATATATATATATATATATATATAAAGATTTATCACGAGTGAAAGGCAATCCAACTTTATTCATGGCATGTTTATCCGGAACTTCCTGTACTGGAAGCCAAACCAAATCATAATTCACAAACACAGATTCTCCATTACACTATTCTGTTCCTTTTTCTTTGTTGTCATTGAATTGAATACTATATGCTTAAACCCACCAAAAAGAATCTGTTCTTTTTTTGGGTACATACGTTACCATCCACATTCTCCTCGAATATTACTTCATGTTCATGTGCATGAAATGGGCATCTTGGGAAAGATGTTCATAAACATCCCTCATAAGTCATCTGAACAAACCAAATATATTTGGTGGAAATAATCTATCTAATTCTATGCATGCACTCAGGTTTTTTACATTATCATCCGATTAAAGATTAATATGTATGATAATTTTGTTTACTTTTATGATAATTAAACTCTTCTATATAATATAATAACTTTAACAAGAGCTGACAAGTAAGAAAAGTGAGATTCCTTGATCATTCTATAAGTTTTCTTCTATCTGAAAATTTCAAGTCTTCTAAATTTTTTTTTTTTATCTTTCTCAGTCTCAGATTTACTTACCGTAACTACCGAGTAAAAAACAGAAAAAGAAAAATTTAGTTACATTGCTTGAAATTACAAGAAGCCAATAAGGTAAACAAGTACCTTGTAATAAATGCACTGATGCTTCTGCAGGGAGAATGGATGATGGCACAGTGGATTGTCACTGCAAAATGCTAATCTCTTGGTAGATACATAAAGTGTTCCAATTACAGGTCCAGAGTTTGTTGATACGTAGCAAGCATATGGCTGTAAGAGCTTCTCTCCTGGAAAAACCCCAAATGTTTGTTGAAATAGATTATCAGGCCCTCCTGATGCAAGCACCTTTGTTCCTTGAATAAGTTTTGCCATTGCAGCATCAGCTGGCCTAGCACTAACTTTTACTGGACACACAACATAGATTCCCATTAGAATTAAGTTTGGATGTCAAACACTTAAATGAAATAATGGATCCCATCATAAGTAAATAATTTAAGCCTAGTTTGGATTAACTTCTACGTTATGTGAAGATTCTTAGAACTATAAGAAAAAGCTTATAAGTTTATAAATGTTTGTGGGAAAATTAGACAAGAGATCTTTTAAAAATGTTGAGGTGCATTAGCCCTAAGGTAATTTCAACATATTTAAGAAGCTTAATTCATTTTGTTTTCTTTCCTTCAAGTTTATCCACACTAGTGTTAATATCAAGAGTTATTCAAGATCTATACCATCTTCTCCAAGATTGCTACTTCATTATAATAATTTAGTTAAGGTGTTTGTAAGAGTTACATCAGCAGCACTATGACCTATTTAGATTAGTTTCTCCAAAAGTACTTATAATCTTATAATAGAAAAAGTAAGAAGAATAAATGTATCGAACTTAGCTTATGAAATAAGCACAATTTATTTTTCTTATTTTCTTTTTCTGTAAGCACTTAGTATCCAATCATAACTATGACTACTTGAGAGGGTGAATTAAATTGATTAGCCTAGTATATATGCAAAAAATGGAAGAAGCCTTTATTGTTTAGTTTTTGGGTGTATGATTGGTGAAAGAAAAAAAAATCATGTATTCAACTTCCAAGTGAAGATGGAGAGCTTATGAACATTTGATTAATTTCCATAAGCACTTGCAAGAAACAGATATTACCAAAGAAAAAGAAACCTTTCCACCATATATTGAAAAAGAAAAGGCAGAATAGAACTCACAATGATTCCGTATTTTGTCAACCATGATCTCAGCTTGTTTGGTTGCTTCTTCAACCTTCTTGCCATAATGATTCAGTGCACCATATATTGTATTCATTGGATTGGGACCTAAAACCATAGCGGGAACATGAGTGAAACAAGAATAAATTTAGTTACAGAAACACAATCTCATGCAAATCACAAATAAGCATGCAATTGAGGTATGGAACATGATTTTTTTGTGTGACTGAAACGTGATTAATGAATGCATAACACTATATTCATTTCTGATTTTGGACAACAAACATAGAGCAAATGTTTTTTTTCTGACAAACTTTAACTGCGTGTGGCTAGTTTGCTGAACAAAATGCTGCGTTTTAAGAGCCAAAAGGTGGCATAACACTCTATTCCGTTTGGCTGGTGCAGAGGGAAGGGGAGCAAAAATAAAAAATAAAAAAAAAGACTCACGTTTGGCTGGTGCAGCGGGAAGGGGAGTAGGGGAAATGTAAACATAAGGGTTGTTGCTGTTGATGTTACTTGTGCTATCAATAACATCAATGTCTATGTTCTTGCTCATTACGTTGTTTAGAGAACCAAGAGAAGAAAGAGAGAGAAAGGAGAGGAACAAAAACAAGAAGAGAGTGATAGAAAGGTTAGAAATAACAAGAATAGAGGAGAGGAGTGATGCAGGGAGAATAGTTAGAGAAGAATGAAGGGTCAATATGCTTATGTGAATTTGAATACAAGTTTGGAGAAAAATAGGAAAAAGGAAAGAATGACATGACATAAGATGAATGATGTAATTGATCTTCACAATGTAGAGATATTATTTCCTTTTGAACATAAATTTTTATGATTTTATTTTGGTTATTTTTCAAAAAGGTCTTTTATTAACGGAGACTTTGTATGTGTTTATAAACCTATGTCTATTCTTTTGTTTTATCGACATGAGACTTTGATTGTATCCTAATAATACTTTTATCAAATAAAAAATCATAGTTTAACCACTCATTGCTATAAAAGTTAGTCCACGAGTGTATGCATCATTGACTCATAGAACTCGGTTATACTCTAAGAATTTATATTGCCACTCCATCTGAGTCGATCATTTGGTCGAAATCATCGACTCTGATTCTACTTGTGTATCGGAGGATTTTCACACACATGTCTTCTGATAGATAAGATATTATCTACCTTAATTCTAAATTCTTATAATCTTGCTTTTAGTCCTCTCCTAAAAAGTCTCTCACTTCTATTGATGTGGAACTTTAATTGTACTCAATAGACAAAATTAAAACAATTCTTAGATTCATTTCTTTTTAATGTCTTCATATTGTTTTTCAATCAAAATTATCGTTCTAAATTAACATAATAAAAATTTTAATTTAAATGTAACATAAATTAATATAGATAGTTGAGTTTCTTAAATATGTTGATCAGGTTTAATTCACTAACCATTTTTATAGAAAAGATTTTCTTCAAAGAGAGAAAACTCATTTTGATGATCTTTATATTTCGAAATGAATTAATTTTTAATTATCGTTTTAACGAAATATAGTCAGCTGTTCCTGGGCTTTTTCCAAAAATTAATTGCAAGAAAATTCAAGAGTTGGAAATATGTTGAAAGAATATAATGACATAAGTGACTTCTTGTACTCATCTGCATGTCACTACATTAATAAGAATATTTGAATTTAATAAGAAGCCATTTCAATTATACCTGTTTTAGATAGTAGTGACCTATTCTATAGTTGCACATATGTATAGTGAATCAATTGGAATGAAAAAGAATGGTCATCCAAGAATAAAATTTATTTCTTTCTTTTGTCTAACAAGATAAGGTAGAGGATGTTGAATAATAGTTCAAATCATCATGTTTATTCGGTGTTGAGGTTGTTGGGTGTTAATTAAAGAGCTAAGTTCAAACTTGATATCAAAGGTGTAGAAAAATGGCTTCATATGCTTCTGGTTTGCAGTGTCTGTGAGAATAATGCAAAAGTTTGAAAGAATTTATGTGAAAGTTTCTGTTATAAAGGCTGAACTATGTGAAATCTAAAAAAGCAAATATTCTCAAATGTTTTGAAATGGTACGTGGGTGGTTCCTTATTCAGGAACTGGGAAATAATCTAAAGTACTGCTACAAAGGTAACGACGAATATATTCAAGATAAAGGAACACAATGAGGAAAAGAGATTCTGCTTCTGCAGAATACGATGCTAAAAAGCCTAGTGTGAAAGCAAAATAATAAAATACAGCACATATTTTAACAATATATTCAGAATAAATAATTCAGATATTCCAACGGGTTAGTCCAGCAATACAAGTTGCATATTCCAACCCTCAAGTATTGTAATTATGCAATTTTGATCTCCAAAATTTTAATTGAGTAATTTTAGTCTTTAAAAAATTATAATTGTGTAATTTTGGTCCTTTAATTTTTAATTGAATAATTTTAGTCTCTCAAATATTATAATTATGCAATTTTAGTCTCTTTTATTAAAAATTTAATAATTTTAATATATATATATATACAATATTTTAAAATTATACAATTATTTATCTATTTAAGTTAACGAATATTATAATTTTTTTCAATGTATCAAATGATATATATTTATTTTTAATAAATAAATAAAATTTATATATTATTATTTTTATAATATTACTGATAAATTAATATCAATAATATTATTAGTATATTTATAGATAAACTATTAATATATACTAAGTCATATTTATCAAATTATTAGTTTATCTATAAATATACTAAAAATATTATTGATATTAATTTATCAATAATATTAAAATACTAATAATATATAAATTTTATTTATTTAGTAATAATAAATATATATCATTTGATATATTAACAAAAATTATAATATATGTTAACTTAAATAAGCAAACAATTGTATAATTTTAAAACATTATATATATATATATATATATATTCTAAAATTACTAAATTTTTTAGTGAAAAAGACTAAAATCGCACAATTATAATAGTTGAGAGACTAAAACTGTTCAATTAAAAATTAAGGGACTAAAATCACACAATTACAATCTTTTAAGGACTAAAATTACTCAATTAAAATCTCGATGATCAAAATTGCACAATTACAATACTTGAGGGATCAAAAACACAATTAAACCTAAATATAAGTATCTGTAAAAGCATTTTTTTTTTATGTACAACACTCTTTAGTCTTCTAAGATTTTTTGAAATTCGATTATTTTTTTAAAAAATTATTTGATTTAGATCTTTCTAATTTGAAAGTGCACCAAGTAGTTTAAATAGCGTTTAGAAATAGTTATAAAGTACTGTATAAACTACTTCAATGGTCAAAAGTGATGTATTTTTAAATTAAAAAAATTAATAGAGCTTGAGAAATTTTAGAGAGTTAAAAACATATTTTATCCAAAAATGAATAATTATACATGTTTGAGTGTCTTCTAATAACAAGTAACTCAAAAGTCATAAAAATAACAATATCAGATTCGTTGATAATCTTTTACATCGACCGTGCATGCCTACTAAATTCTCATATTAATTTAGTTAATAATATTTAAAAAAATAAAACGTCAAAAATAGTGGCGCTATGGTCTATAGCGACACAGTGTCGCTATAGGCCATAGCACCACTCGTTTAAAAAATAAAATACTTAAAAACAAAAAATATATATATAAAACATAAAGAAAAAATAGAAAACATAAATATATAAATATAGATTTATATAAAATTCATAAACAAAATTAAAATGTGAAAAAAATTAATTTAGTTAATAATTTTAAAAAAAATAAAAGGTCAAAAATAGTGGCGCTATGTGAACATATAAAAAATTATAAATACATGCATATAGGATCAATACAAATAGCAATAAAACCCTTATTTAGATTAGGCATGGACACGCCTATGTTTGTAGCCTTAAGAGATAATAGGCCAACTGAACTAGAAAGTCAAATTTTGGCTATGTTTGAAACAAATTTACATCAAGGACCAGTGTACATTAATAACTATCCGAACTATTCAGTAGCCCTTAAAAGTCTTCATAATACTGATAATAATTTAATATTGGATGTTAAAATACTTGAAAATAAATGGAATAAAAATTCATATCCAGTAGCAATAATATATAGAATATATTATAAAGTCATGAAAACCCATTTAGCTCCTAGAGCTCTATTAATGTCTCCCAAAGATGAAACCACTATGCTTTTAATAAACCCTGAAAAAATAAGTGCAGTAGTTCCTAAAACTTTAAAGCATAATGAAATAACCATGGGATTAAAATGGAAAATAGAAGATATTTTAAAACCAGACCCTCCAGACCCAGTAGAAGTAGAAGAAATAATTGAATATAAATCAGGAACAGTAGAAGTTTCATTTACCCCATTAAGAAGAATAGAGTCTTTAAGAATAGGAGAAAGTTCAAAAGCATCCCCTCAAACTTTTCATACAGCACGAAGATCCTTAGATAAATCTAGTTTTACATATCATAAAACTATGAATTTAAGAGGAATTAGACCAGATCATACAGTACCCACACCAGAATATAATTGGGAAGAAGCTAAAACTCATAATTCGCCATCAAATACTGAACTAGCAGGAGAAGAACATATAGATACCTCTATAAATGTAATTAAAAAATTTGAAATAAATAAAGATATGATAAAGCAAGAATTTTTAGCAAAAGAAAACCAAGACAAAAGAAAATGGTTTTTTGAAACATTCTCCCAACAAGAATTAAAAAATTTCAGAGAATCTTATTATAAATACTTAGAAGAAATTCAAGAAAATATTCCTTATTTTAATTGGTTTGAAGAAAATTGTTTAAAAACTTTAAGTATAAATGTTTTAAAACATGCTGAAAAGATTTGGAAAACAAAATCAGGAGAAAGAATAAGCGAAATACCTCCTTTAGAAGAAGTAAGATTTCCAAATATAGAAAATAAAGAGGTAATAGCGTCACCCTTTAAGATGATAGGAAAAAGAAATTTAGATGAAAATATATCAGTCCTAGATATACAAAATGTTCATAGTCAATTAAATTATACAAATCAATTATTACATCAAGTGGCAATAAAAAATTTTGAAGAAAAATCCGAAATAAAAAATGTAAATCCTTTAGGAATAAAGCCTTTAGAAAGATCATTAATAACTCCTACAAGATTTACGGATAAGGAATATAAAGAATTTAAACTAGGAAGTAATACAGAAAATTTATTAACAGAAATTAATAAAAAATTAGAAAAATTAAATATAAAAAACATTAATATATTAGAAATTCCTCAAGAAGAAATAGGAAGTATAAACCCAGAAGATTTAGAAAATGATATATTTAGAATACAAAGAAAATTTAATCAAAATCCCAACACAAACAATATGCCCACTACTAGAAATTATTATAGAAGACCTACACTGCCAGACATACAATTTGAAGAATGGAATTTAGAAAGTCCTTCTGCCTTCAATGGTGAAGGAATAACTGAATGGAATATAGATGGATTAACCGAACATCAAATATTAAGAAAAACCCATGAAATGTCTATGGCTGCCTCTGCATATAGAGCAAAGCATAATGAGGCCCAAACTGTAAAACTTTTAATAGTTGGATTTACTGGATCATTAAAAGGATGGTGGGATAATTATCTTACGATTCTTACCCAAGAACAAAGAAATTATATTTTAAATATAGTAAAAGTTGAAGAAGGAATAACTATCCCATTAATGCTAGAAACTTTAATAATATCTATAATTCAAAGTTTTATGGGAGATTCGAATATCTTTGATAATAAGACAAATACCCTCTTGCATAATTTAAGATGTCCCACTTTAGGAGATTTTAGATGGTATGTAGACAACTTTATTATGATGGTAATGACTAGGGCAGATTGTAAAGAAAATTTTTGGAAAGAAAAATTTATTACAGGATTGCCCCCAGTTTTTGCTACAAAAGTTAGAGAAAAATTAAGTCAAACATATGATGAAAACTTACAAGAATTAACCTATGGAAGAATAATTGCGATAATAAAAACTACTGCTTTAGAAATTTGTAATAATATGAAACTAGAAAAACAAATTAAAAAACAAAAGGATAGTGGAATAAAAGAATTAGGAAACTTTTGTGCTCAGTATGGATACGAAGGCATAATTCCTCCATAAAGAAAATACAAAAAGAATATTAGAAAATCTTTTAAAAGAAATCAATCCTTTAGAAAAAATAATATACCCTTTAAGAAGAGAAAAAATTTTAATAATAAAAATTATAATAAAAAACAAACTTTTACTAATAAAAATAAAGGAATAGTCTGTTTTAAATGTGGAAGATATGGTCATATGAAAAAAGACTGCAGAGTTAAAGAAAAGATAAATAATTTAAATATATCTGAAGAATTAAAAGAACAAATTGCAAAACTTTTACTGTATGAATCAGAAAGTGAGGAAGAAGATAATAGTAGTATGGAATATATTGATAATATAGAAACTTCAAGTGATGAAGAAAGTGAATGTGAATGTGATGAAAACCCATGTTCATGTTCATTTAGTATAAATGTAATAACCGCTGAAGCAAAATTAATGTTAGAAATGGTAGGAAAGATTCCTAATGAAGAAGAAAAACTAGAATATTTAAGTAAATTAAAAGATTTAATATTAGAAGACAAAACCCATGAAGAACCTACTTATACTCCTGAATTTAATGGATACGATTTTTCACAAATATTAAAGAAAGCCTCAATAAAAGAAAAACCTATAACTATTAAAGAATTACAGAGAGAAATAAATGAATTAAAAGAAGAAATAAATATAATTTTTTTTAAATTCCTTTAATTTATTAATTATTATTATCTGATGCCGATTGGAATTTAAACCTATGAGAATATAGAAGGCAAATTCTTGATATGACTGTATTATTGCTGCTGTTATTAATTAAATTGTTAAAGTCAAGCAAAACTTGAAATTTTAGAGATTCTTATCTGTTTTGCTTGATGAATAAATCATGGTGATGGAAAATAGAAAGTATATAGGGACTGTACCAATGAATTATTTTTGCAATTGGGTAAGTATAAATTCGAATATCATATTTGTTTGAAATGAAGTTTTACAGGATTAAAATAATTAAATTGAATACTGATAAATAAAAAAAAATTAAGTTGAATGTGTGGCTATTCAAATGAGCAACGTCAAATATTCGACTAGTGTGGTGACACTCATTTCATTATTTGTGGGGGATGACATATTACATGTATAATTCGTTGTAGCTGCTTGTTCTGATTTAAGTGCTCATATATTTTATGTAACTTATATCATTTTTCAACTTCTACATTACTTGAATTCAAGATGAATTATTCTTAAATTAACTAATTATTATTTTTAATATTAGATCATTCCTATTGTTATTATATTTTTTTCACTGAAAGCTGCCAATGATATTAGTTAAAATTATATTATAAATAATACATTAAAAAACATATGCCACTTTGACACACGTATGTTTATTATATTAGTTACCCATACAATTATTAGCATGCTTAGTTTTATATATAGAATAAAGAATTATAATTTAGGCTAAAATAGTATTTTAGTTCCTTATAATAATTGTTTGTTTCAATTTAGTCGCACTTTTATTTTTGATCTCAATTTGATCCCTAATAAATTAATTGGTTGCAATGTCGGACTTCTGTCCAAATTATTTAAACGGAGTTAACTGTTAGCCACGTGGATGCCACGTAGATGCATAGGTGGATGCCAAATTTTTTGAAAACACCTGGAACTAGAACAGTCCGTTCTGAAACCAGAACGGGCCGTTCTAGGTGCACTTTTGGTGTGTTAATTTTGCATCCGAAACGACCCGTTCCAGGTGCAAAATTAACACACTAAAAGCGCAACTAGAACAGGCCATTCTGGTTTCAGAACGGGTCATTCTGATTCCAGAATGCCAAATACAAACTATCAATGATTATAGTTCACGGTTGTGAATCGTGGAAGGAAAAAGACCTAAGGTACAAAACATTTCAAACACTAGATTTGGTAATATTGTCAATGGAAATTGATAACTTCAATTGCTAAACAGTTAGACTATACAGTGTATCATTAAGGACAATGTAGTTGGGCTATACAGTGTATCATTAAGGACAATGCAGTGTATCACTAAAGACAATAGTAACAGATTTTATTTCATTGTTAGTCAAACTGGAGTGAACCACTTACTACCAAATTGATACTATATAGTAAAGGATGAAATGACATGGTATTTTTCCTTGAAATCATTAACGATGTACCCCAACAAAAATAACCTGTTTTTGAAGAGGTAGAACCTGAAATAAAGGAAGAGGATACACAGGACTAACATTTCACCATACAACCACATGCAGGGACGGATCTAAGTTAATCATAGTGGGGACACTTGCTCCCACTAAATTTTTTTTTATTCTTTTTTTATATATATAATATTAATAATTTTATAAAATATATATTATTAATTATATTTTAATTATTTTGTTATATCTAATATAATAAATACATTAATATTTTTTTATATTTTATTTTATTGTTTAATTATTTTTTATTTTGTGGTAAAATTATCTTCATTTTTAATGAAGAAAAAATTTACTTACTTCAAGAGTAAGTCTTGATAGATTTATTCTACTTAATAATTAATGTTCTATATCAAATTTTTAAAAATTTAATTGTTAAATTAAAAAAAAATTCATGTATATATCAAATTTATAAAATTTTTTAAAAAATTAAAAATCATATGATACTTCGTTAAATTAATTCAAAATAACATATAAAATATTTTTGTTTTAAATGAGTGTAAAAATTTAGAGGACACTAAAAGAAAACAAATTAATAATTTTATTATGTTTATCTTATTAATTTTTATCATTTTATTCCTCTAATTTTAAATAAGTTGCAAAAAATTATTAAGTGACACTTAAATATTTCTTCAGACAGAAAGAGAAAAAGGAAAAGTTATCACTCTATTTATAAGACAAATGTATTTTATAAAATAAGTAATTTTAAAATTTTTACCATAAAAAAATATTTTTCAAAATTATTATAGTTTTGGAACGGGCCGTTCTAAATCCAGAACGGTCTGTTCTGAAACAAGAACGGGACGTTCTGGTTTCAGAACGGGCTGTTCTTTTGTACTCGTGATGTGTTAATTTTGCATCTGAAACGGTCCATTTCAGATGCAAAATTAACATACCAAGAGTGCACCTAGAATGACCCGTTCTGGTTTCAGAATGGGTCGTTCTGGTTCTAGGTGTTTTCAAGAAATTTGGCATCCATTTATGCATCTACGTGGCATCCACGTGACCAATAGTTAACTCTGTTTAAATACTTTAGACGGAAATCTGACATTGCAACCAATTAATTTATTAAGGACCAAATTGAGACCAAAAATAAAAGTGGGACTAAATTGAACCAAACAATTATTATAAGGGATAAAATAGGTTTTTAGCCTATAATTTATGTAGTATTTGAGCCAACTTAATTCAGTGTCTTCCTCATTTTTATCCCCTATCCTCCTTTTACGAGTCTTTTCTTAGGAATAAAAACAACAACTAATTTATGGTACCTTTATAAAAGGCTTTTATTTGGTTAAAATATATAACTTTTATAGGTTTTCCAAACAGAAAAATAAACATGCATGCACTCGCGCACTCACAAAAGTTAAAACAAATTGTAGTTTTGAGTAGTAAAGTAAAATAGAGCAATGTTAATGATTAACATTGATCTGAAGTTATCTTCAAATGTATTATTTAACCTTATTAATCTACAATAAAAACAAAAGTGTACTTCTTACATGTTAACATTCTACGCGAATTAGTAAAATATTGCGATTGTAAATTTTTTATATTAAATTAAATATGCATATTGATATCAACATAGTATGACAAGGACAGAATCAGAGGACCCCTCTAAGCTGTAAAAGAAATTGTCATTTCCTTTTTCTTTTCTCTACTTATGGTATTTGCTCCAGAAATTGAAATTCTATGCTCTGATCTTAATCATTTCTGCCCCTAGGGTGATCTGCTTATGTGTACGTAGTTTTTCCTCACCAGCATTACAAGTTTACAACCACAGATAATAAAGTTCAAACCATGAAATAATATTTAAACAGAATTCATTAGTCCTACTTGAAACAAATCAATTGCAAAGAAATAGTTTCAAGCTATCCCTTACCAACTTAATCAATTTGCTAAGGAAACTGGAAGAGAAAAACAAGAATTGTACTTTAGCCCAAACCAATCATAAATTTATTGCAAACTTGGTTTATTTTACATCCATGTCCTCTACACACAGGACAGGACAGAAATAACCATCACTTTATTTCAATCTTAAACCACTATTTAGAATTAATTGAAGTAACTGCATATAATCTGCAATACCAAGCCTTTTCTATATACTAATTAGGCACCTTAATATACCCCACATGTGAGGAATTAGCCACTCTAGTAAGTGTTTGCAGATCATAAGCTATCCAACACCTTGAGTTCTCTCTATGGTAGAAGTACCCCACACACTTGCAATCCTTGGTACATTTGTTTCCACAATTACTCTCACTCACTCTATCCCCTGTGGTGTATTTGCTCATGTAATGGTCAACACCTTCAACTTTGTAGTAGTGGAACTCACTAGCCTTGCATGATGTCACAGCCTTGGAAGTGCAATTGTTGCTCCACCCAAATAGTCCATTTTCCAAAGGACAAGCCACACATTGGTTATCCTCACACAACCCAAATTTCCCACACCTCTCAGGCAATTGGCACTCACTCTCATCAGAGTCTCTATCAAATAAAGTGTAGGTCACTTGCCACACACCATCACGCACATCAAGAAAATAAGTGTGCATCCTAATGTTGCCATCAATGCCAAGCCTAAGGTATGTTATGGTGCTGTTGTTCACTGGCCTGCCAATGATTCTATTCCCACTAGAGATGGAAGAGTTGGCCACATGGTAATCAAATCCAATTTCAAAAGTCTCTGAGTCAGATGTGAGGGTCACATTTTCCAACGAGCCTTGTGGAATGGAGAACCAATCAGATGAAAACCAATAGAGAATTGGCCTAGGAGAGTTCTTGCTCTTGTAGTACAAAGCCAACCCTTTAGGCTCCAAAACCAAACTATAAGGGCCATCTAGATTTTCTTCAGAAAGCCTACTAACCAACTTGTTAGGCCCTTTTGCTCTAAGATACTGACCAACCAAAAGGGTATCCGTTGGATGGTCAAAACTCTGCCAAACGAACTTACCTTGTGCATCAAGTAGGACCATGTTGCCATTTGGAAGCAACCTGAAGGCCACAACACCCTTGTTGGAAGTGTTGGTTTGCCATGCAATTCTACCATCTGCATCAGCCAAGACAAGGTTGCCATCAGTGCCAAGTGAAAAAGTGGCATTTTCTCCAACTGGGGTGCCTCTATTGGCCTCCCAAACCCAACGAAATAGCTGCTCCGAGCGTTGGAGTCCTACACGCAAAGCCAAAGTGAAGGCATTTGGGGTGGTGTTGTAGAAACCTACTTGGAAAGGTGAGTTGAAGATGCTTATCATGCGGTAATCAGCACCATACTCAACAATGAAGGGTCCAAGTTCACCCGAGTTCACAAATTTGAAGGTCTCGTTCTGAGGAACAATAGCGTGAGCTATGATGGTGAAGAACGAGAATGAGAATAAGAATAAGGTGAAAAGGGAACTAGAAGAAGCCATTGTTGCTGTAATTGATGGACATGTTCTGCTATATGCTATATATAGTAAGAATTTAGAACTTGGTCAAAGTTTTCAGCTCAAAAATGTGAAGAATGAATGATCTAGATTTCGATCAAGATCAAACTAGTACAACAGTAAAGGAAAACATATTTTTAATGAGTGCATGAGTGGATCATCATCTTTATATATAAAAAAATAAATACCTTGTGACAAGAAAGATGTCACAGGTCATGAATTTCCGTGTTGTCGAGTGCAACTCGGCGCATTTTTTTTTGCGAAAATGGTCCTCCGTTACCTAATTGATTAGAACGTCGACGCATCTATTTTTATTTTCGGATAAGATCTTTAGAAAAATGTTCATTAAAATAAGATTGCTTTTACAAAACACTAAGTGGTGAGATTATTAACAATGGTTTTCTGTCTTTGATGTCCCATTTCATTCGGAGAGATATTTTTTTTTTAACATATTAAGTGATGAGATTATTTAAAAAAAAATAGAAAATATATATTTAATATATTGTAAACTAAGTGAAAATTAAATCTAATATGGTAGACCCATTTTTTCTTCTTCTTGAAAATAAGTTCGAGATTTAATATGAGGTGTTCCATACTATAACATTATGTTTGGTTTAAAAATCAATATATGAGCTGGCTTGTTAAGTCAACGAGATTTAAGATGGTCAAAGATTTGAGCTGCCAGTTGTTTTCATAATTGTGTTCAAGGATTGTCTTTTCTTGACAGAATCATATATGGCCTGTCGCATTGCCACGTTACAAGTTTTTTTTTTTAATTTCATTTTTATTTTTCTCAATTAAGTTTTAATTTTTAAAATTAAATAATTTAATTATTTATTTTCTTTTAAATATATAGAATTTTATGATGAATGCAGTGCAGGTTCTTTCTGAGTAAAAATGAGAATTTAAATATTTTAGGTAAAAATAAGGAATGGGTAAACTTATTCAGTTTCAAAATAGAAACGAAAAAATTTACAAAATTGATTTGTTTTTCTTCTTCTTATTTTCACCGAGGTGCATTTTACTTCAATAATAAGAAACAAATTGATTAAAAAAAACAGCACCTGTCATTAGACCAGGTGCAGTGTTTGAAGCATAGAAAAGCTTAAATAATTTAATTTGATATATCCTCATATATAAATAATAGCTAGCATAAGGTAAGTTTAACGGTGGGATTAGAGTTGATAACATTGTTACTATTGTAAATAAAAATGTGTAAACTACTTTGGTGGTGGCTGGTAGTGAGATTATTGATTCAGACAGTGGATTTGCTCAAAATGAAACCAATGACCCAATGTCGACTTTAAATGTCCATATCCACCTTTTTTACTTACAGGGGTTAGTAGTACGTAATCGAATATGTTATGAGTTAAATACCTATACACGTTCGGTATAAATTTTTTTTACACTAACAACTAATCATATCTTTTAATAGTATCTTGCTTATTTAATAAAATAATAATAAAATAAGTAACTTTAAAATATATGATTGATTTTTAGTGTAAAAATCTTTACACTACCGGTGTATAGATGATTAACTTATATGTTATTTACATTCGTGAATATATTTTTAGTTTCTAGAAAATGAATAAGTTGTTATTTTGATTTTTATAAAAGAATGTTTTCATTCTTTTAAATTTAAAATTATTATTTTTAATTTATGTTATTATGTGATTATTTTAACCACTTTTTTGTTTATTAAATGTTAAGTTTATTATTTTAAGTATTATCCACAATTGTTAGTTGTATCATGTATTAGTGTGTCATATTTTTTATTTTTTTTTATAAATTTTTAAAATAAATGTTATTATCTATTTTAGAATCATTGTTAAGGATAAAAATTGTAATTGTAAATTTTAGAGAGGGAAAAATTAAAGAAAAATAATATACAGTGACAAAAATTAATGTTACCTCATTTTACAAGGACTAAAAATAATCTTAATAAAATTTAGAAGGATAAAAAGTAAAGAAAATAATTATAAGAACAAAATTAAAATCAAAACTTATTCATTTTATAATAATTAAAAATATATTTAAGTCTTAATTTAGTTATGTTGGTTTTTCAAATTTAATTCAATATAAGAAATTTTAAATTAGATAAGTTTTAGGTTTTAGGTTTTAATTTTTTTAATATCTTTTCTTAAAAATAAAAAGATATACCATAGATATAATATAAAATAATTAAGAGTATATATATATATATATATATATATATGAAGTTTATTCAATGAGAACATGTTGCGAGACCTAATTCCTCTAAAGTGATGAGGAAATTGCATCTTAGAAAATAAAGTGTAATAATAATAATTTTTAAAAAATCAACGGTTGATATAATTAATTTTAAATTTTATCTTGCAAGAATTTGTTTAATCACAAATCTTATTCATTAATTTTATTATCGTGAGTGCACTTTGTCCTCTACATTGCTTCCCTCACTTTAAAATAGTCAAATCCTTTGTTACAATATAGAGAGAGTAAATCATAATCTTTAAATTATATATAAAAATAATTAATAATTAAGATTAAAATCCAATTACAAACATTCTTTTACAACTATTTTGTCACTACAATTGTTATCTCCACAACTATTTTTGACACCATCACCCATTTTCGCAACTATCATTATTGTCACCATAACTATCATTGTTGTCATTATCGTTGTTACCACCACCATTGATACCACAAAGTGATAGCAATACTAGTGATGACGACAATGACAAGAGCATTAGTGGTGTATGCTATTATCTGGCCACTACTATTATTGTTACTATGTTGTCGTTAGGGGTGGGTATACGGACCGGTCTGGCCTGTTTAAGGACTGGTCCGTAAAACTCGCATTTTATATGGATCGGATAAGTCCGGTTCGTATCTAACCCGTCCAAATCCGTGGATAACGGACAGGTCTGTGGATCTAAATAATGTTTCAAAAAAATAAATTAAAAAAAAGGATAAAAAGTAAAGAAAATAATTATAAGAACAAAATTAAAATCAAAACTTATTCATTTTATAATAATTAAAAATATATTTAAGTCTTAATTTAGTTATGTTGGTTTTTCAAATTTAATTCAATATAAGAAATTTTAAATTAGATAAGTTTTAGGTTTTAGGTTTTAATTTTTTTAATATCTTTTCTTAAAAATAAAAAGATATACCATAGATATAATATAAAATAATTAAGAGTATATATATATATATATATATATATATGAAGTTTATTCAATGAGAACATGTTGCGAGACCTAATTCCTCTAAAGTGATGAGGAAATTGCATCTTAGAAAATAAAGTGTAATAATAATAATTTTTAAAAAATCAACGGTTGATATAATTAATTTTAAATTTTATCTTGCAAGAATTTGTTTAATCACAAATCTTATTCATTAATTTTATTATCGTGAGTGCACTTTGTCCTCTACATTGCTTCCCTCACTTTAAAATAGTCAAATCCTTTGTTACAATATAGAGAGAGTAAATCATAATCTTTAAATTATATATAAAAATAATTAATAATTAAGATTAAAATCCAATTACAAACATTCTTTTACAACTATTTTGTCACTACAATTGTTATCTCCACAACTATTTTTGACACCATCACCCATTTTCGCAACTATCATTATTGTCACCATAACTATCATTGTTGTCATTATCGTTGTTACCACCACCATTGATACCACAAAGTGATAGCAATACTAGTGATGACGACAATGACAAGAGCATTAGTGGTGTATGCTATTATCTGGCCACTACTATTATTGTTACTATGTTGTCGTTAGGGGTGGGTATACGGACCGGTCTGGCCTGTTTAAGGACTGGTCCGTAAAACTCGCATTTTATATGGATCGGATAAGTCCGGTTCGTATCTAACCCGTCCAAATCCGTGGATAACGGACAGGTCTGTGGATCTAAATAATGTTTCAAAAAAATAAATTAAAAAAAACATAAAATTAGAAGAAAAAAATATTTTTTTTATTTATAAACTAAATTTCATCACACTAAAATTTATCAACAGTTAAAATAGTTTAAAATATTAAATATTAAAATAAAAATAATTACAAATACTTATATAATAATACCAAACTTTCAATAATAAAAACATCAAAATGTCATAAAAATAATTCAAATGACAAATACATACCAACTAAACATAGTTTTAATGTCATAATAATTTAAAATATTTAATATATAACTTAATATTAAAGTCTTAATATCTACAAATATTAAATAGTGAAGTCCGTGGACTAGCCCGCGGATTAAATTTGCCAAGTCCGCAAACTTCACAGATTGGACTCAAAAATCAAACATAATCATCCGAATTTAAAAAAATGGGTCCGTTATCCGAGAAATCCGCGGGCTTACGAACCGGTCCACGGACCCAGATCCATATAACCACCCCTAGTTGTCGACATCATGTGATAGTGACAATAATAGTGACATCGTTGTCAACATCACAATTGTCATTGTTGCCATTATTGTTATTATTACAGTTGCCATTGTTATAACTACCATTAAAATCGCCACAAAATGCCACCATGTAGTAATGATGACAGTAGTTACATCATTGCTAATACCACCATTTGTCATTGTCATTAATGTCGTTATCACTACTATTATTATAGTCGTTACTATCATCATCATTGTCACCATGATAATGACAGTGATGGTAACAAAAACAACAATAATAGCGACGATGAGTAGTAATAATAGTGATAGTTGTAAATGAATAATTTTATGAAAAATGTTTATAGTTAAATTTTAATCTTAATTATTAATTTTATTTATCTATAATTCAAAGGTTATGATTTACCTCTCATCTTTTATAATAAAACATGTTTTCATAAGATTTCCTTTTATAATAAAACATGTTTTCATAAGATTTCCTGTTAACAAAATATTACTGAATAATCTTGAACTATATAATTTTTCAATAGTCTTTATATGATATGCTATCAAATGTTATTAAATTTTTCTCATAAATTAAAAAATTTAAATATATATCATATAATAATTCACTAGAATCATGATGAATTAATAATCTTAAACCACCTGATAATTTCTCTCTTAGGTTTTGATTTATTTATTTAATATATAAATTAATTTAAATTTTTTTTAAAATTGATTTTGTATAATTTAGTTAT